TGGACAATGGTAACTGACCCTTAGGACCTCTCGCGCGGGACAGCTCTGCTGATTGATCCCCATCTGAGATTTAGCGTCTTCCATTGCTCTCAGGAGCCCCGTCTTCGGCCTCCATTGTTCAATGAACCTGCTTCCCTCTTGCATTCACGTGTCTGCTGTTTGACTCTGTCTGGGATCCATTGGTGGGATCTGTGAGACCAGAACTCGGTGTTGGCTTCTGATGTGGAGAGCTCCAGTGTTTGCTGACTGTCTGGCCGCTTGCTTCGATACCAAGCCCTCCTAAGTCTGTTGGCTAGACTCCATGGCACTCAAAGAGAACACCCAGTCTCACTAGGAGGGGAAGGGTTCCTGAGGAGCTGAGAGAAACGTTTTTTGTTTTCTTCAGTGGTGTGGCTGCCCAAGGTTGCTCATAGTTTTAAAAGAGACCCCAACCACACTCACTGGTCTTCCAGGCTCATCTTGGATAGAATCCTTTTCTAGCTTTAGGCATTATTGGTGCCCTATCTCACTTGTCCTCAGAAAAAGTTCACACAATGCAGTCTGTGTGCATTAAAAAAAATGTTGCGATGGAAAATATGGAAAAAATCTTTGTTTAACCTACAACTATAGTCATAGTCATAGTGATGGAAATAAACAATTACATAAGTTAATTAAAAAATCATTATAAAATATACAATGTGAATATTCAGTTAAGCCTACCCTGTTGCTAATACTCAGAGTTAGTAAGTGTAGCGGTTTAAGAATGACCTCCATAGGCTCATATACTTGAATACTTAGTCATCAGGGAGTGGCACTATTTGAGAAGGATTAGGAGGTGTGGCCTTGTTGGAGAAAGTTTGTGGGGGGGGGGTTGGCTTTCAAAAGCCCATTCCAGGCACAGCCTCTCTCTCTCTCTCTCTCTCTCTCTCTCTCTCTCTCTCTCTCTCTCTCTCTCTCTCTCTCTCTCTTCCCTCCCTCCCTCCTTCCCTCCCTCTTTCTTTCTGCCCATGGATCAGGTTGTAGCTCTCAGGCACTGCCCTAGTGCCTGCCTGTACACTGCCATGACTCACCCCCCAGGATGATAATGGACTAAACCTCTGAAACTGTAAGCCAGCTCCAATTAAGTGCTTCCTTTTGTAAGAGTTGCTGTGGTCTTGATGTCTCTTCACTGCAACAGGACAGTGAAAGACAGTAATCATCTCAGTCTTTTATTGGCATTTTATGAGATAAATGGTGATTGATGTCAAGAATGTTAGCCAAAGGCAACTTTTGAAATTCTGATGTTTAAGTGTGTTTTCTCTATTATGTAACTTTTTGTTATTGAAAATTTTGTTTTACAATATTTTAAGCCAACATGGCGGCATGTAACTGAAATCACAGCATTCAGGAGGCAGGGGGATTATCACAAATTTGAGACCAGCCTGATCTACAAAGCAAGTTCCAGCCCTACTCCCCAAAATAGATTCTAATTAAAAAATACAACACAGGGGCCAGAGCGATGGCACAGAGGTTAAGAGTACTGGCTGCTCTTCCTAAGGACCCCCATCTGATTTCTTTTTTTTTTCCTTTTCTTTTTTTCTTTTTCTTTTTTTTTTTTTTTTTTTTTTGGCTTTTTGAGACAGAGTTTCTCTGTGTAGTTTTGTGCCTTTCCTGGAACTCACTCTGTAGCCCAGGCTGGACTCGAACTCACAGAGATCCTCCTGCCTCTGCCTCCCGAATGCTGGGATTAAAGGCGTGTGCCACCGCCGCCCAGCCCCATCTGATTTCTATCACCTGCATGGAAGCTAACAACTGTCTTTAACTTTGGTTCCGAAGCATCTGACATCCCTTTCTGACTTCCATGATGCACAGATGTACATGCAAGCAAAACACTCATACACTTAAAATAAAATTTAAAAATATATAGAAAAAAACCCATATATTTTGTTAGGGAGGAAATCTAATTTCCCGCTAATGCTTATACATTTACAGTAGGGACAGACCTCTGAAACAGATGATGGATTAACAAGAGGAAAGCATGTTAATTCAGTACACAGTCCCTGTCACTCTCAAGAAACCTCAGAAGCATCCTTAGCAGTGACTTAGAATGCTGGCTTATGGACCATCTTCAATAAGGAACAGTCAATTTATGGAGAAATGATAAGAAAAAGAAATCAGGATCCAAAGGTGGGAAACTAGAAGGTGAGTGTATGTGGGGGGAAATAATGAAGTGTGTATATGGGGGAAATGATGAAGTGTTTATATGGGGGAAATAATGAAGTGTTCATATGGGGGGAAATAATGAAGTGTGTGTATGGGGGAAATGATGAAGTGTTTATATGGGGGAAATAATGAAGTGTGTATATGGGGGAAATGATGAAGTGTTCATATGGGGGAAATAATGAAGTGTTCATATGGGGGGAAATAATGAAGTGTGTATATGGGGGGAAATAATGAAGTGAGGCTTGTTTGCAGGTTCCTTTGTGCTCTGTGACTTTTCCTGGGGAATCATGACTAGACAGTCTTGGCTGGCCTTGTACTTGTGATGATCCTCCTGTCTCTGTCTCCTGAGTGCTGGGATTTGTCACCAACTTTTGCTAGAAGGCTATTAATGAGTGAGTTTCACTAAGGCCAGAGGGAGACGGGTCACTTGCCATTTCTTTGCAAACCGCCTTTATGTCATTTTATGGAGGTTTTTCTTTTCTTTTAATTGAAAATAGATCTCTCTCTCTCTCTCTCTCTCTCTCTCTCTCTCTCTCTCTCTCTCTCTCTCTCTCTCCAGGATTTCTCTGTGTAGCATTGGCTGTCCTGAAACTCACTCTGTAGACCAGGTTGGCCTCAGACTCTCAAAGAGCCGCCTGGCTCTGCCTCCAAGTGCTGGGATTAAAGGCGTGCGCCACAGGCTGCCTGGTGAAAACAGATTTTTTTTTTTATACAGTGTATTCTGGTTATCATTTCCTCTCCCCTAACTTTTTCTTGAATATTCATTTTTCTGATAGACAGAGCTTCCAATTTCTTTCTTGATGTAGATGTGCCTGTGTGCTTCAGATTTAGGAGAACGGTGAGTCACGCAGAGGCCCTTGATATTCTGTGTGCACACACACGTGCTATGCGGTGAAGGACATGTAGTACCAAGCTTACTGTTTAATCATGCTTTAGTCTACAGTTTAGTTAAGTACATGCATGTTATTATACAACCAGTCTCCAGGCCTCTTTTCATCTTAGGAAGCTTAGAGCAAAACAATTAAAACCTTCTCCTCCTCATCTAGCTCCTGGCAACCACTATTCTATTTTCTTTTGTAAAATTGCTAAAAAATTATATTTACTTATTGTGTGTGTGTGTGTATGTGTTTGTGTGTGTGTGTGTGTGTGTGTGTGTGTGTGTGTGTGTGTGTAAATCAGAAGACAACTTGTTGCAGTCACCTCTCCCCTTTTACTGTGTGTGTTCTGGCTTGACTCCAGGGCATCCGGCTTGGTGGTAAGTGCCTTTACCTGTGGAGCTATCTCGCTCATCTTCTATTTTTCTTCCTTTTTATTCCAATGACACTGATTCCTCATAAAGGTGAAAATATACAATGATTGCCATTTAGTGACAATTTACTTAGTATAAGTGTTCAGATTCTTTATTTTTAAAGTATGAATAATATTTCCCTTTATGCATGTACCATGTTTATCCCTTAATTTGTGGGTGGAAACTGAACAGTGGCTGCTATGAGCATGGGCATTCAAGTGTGTCTGAAGCTCCTCTGCTTTTCAATTTTTTGGGGTTTATTTCTAGAGGCAGAATGCTGGATTATGATTATTCTCTTTTCGTATTTTGAGGACACACACACACACACATACACACACACACACACACACACACACACACACACACACACACACACTTTTACATTTCTTTCCCTTATTGAGCCTATACCTGGTGTGCTGAATGTGGAGATAGCACACCTGGTGGCTTTTGTCTCCGTTTTGAATAAGTGGCCCCTAATTGGTGGATAAGGCACAGAGTTAGGGTATTTGTGTGGATATGTGGGGTTAAAAGGGGAACTTTAAAGCCTAAATACTTTATGTATAAACTTCCAACCTAATTCGCCAATCTCCACTGCAATAACCTGGGCCCTTTCACCACCCCCATCCAATGTGTGCTTGTAGAGGTTCTATGTAAACGTGTCATGAAATCCAATTCATCAAAAACGAATTCACTTAAAAGGGAAACCAATTAGCTGGGCAACATTCATTTAATCCCAGCACACCCCAGCACTCCAGAGGCAGAGGCAGGCGGATCTCTTTGACTTTGAGGCCAGCCTAGGGTATACAGAGTCAGTTCCAGAACAGCCAGAGCTCTTATACAGAGAAACCTTGTCTCTCGGGAAACAAAAAAACAAAACAAAACAAAAACAACAAACAAACAAAAAAACCAATTGATTTGTTCAATATATTTTCTCTCTCTCTTTTTTAGTTTTAGCTGTCATTTTGTTTTTAAAACAGCATTTTAAGATAAATTCGGTCAGTTTGTGTCAGTACCCTCACTACTGTGGTTAGTCTGAAGGGCTGAGGAGAAAACTCTGAAAGATATACATGTCCGTTTTTATTCCTAGAGACGTACACTGTAGTAGAAGGAGTAGAAGGAAATAAATCACTAGCAGATTTTGATAAATCTTTCTGCTCTCTGGGTCGAAATATGCAGAAGGAAGATTATGATTACAAACCACATATTCTATAAACGTGTAGAAGAGCGCTCTTAAATGCTGGGTACATCTGAACCCAGAACAAATGGATAACAGTGTTTTAATTTGGAGTGATATGACATCACCATGGTAGCAATAAGCAGCGCACATGCGCAGTTGCAAGAAGTCTCCACCCCGCCCCAGCACGCTCCAGAAGCAGCAGAGCACTCCCAGTTCCCCGGAGCATGCTTCTCCCGGTGCCTCGAGGTTGCTCCGCCCTGCGGAAGCCAAATTGCCAATCATAGCCCGCGCATTGACTGTCGTCATTAGAGCGTGCCCATCCTTTGAAAGCTTGGGGGCGGGCTCCCGGCCTTGCGCATGCGCTCCTGAGCGCTCTCCACACGCTGGTTTTGCGTCTTTCCGTACGGTACCTAAGGCGAGAGGTGGCTCGCGTCAGGGGGCGATTTGGGACCTGGTCGCCGCCACCATGGGTAAAACGGTTGATTCTCTGGGTCAGGGAACCCGCCCCGACCCGGTGCGGAGCTTCAATCGCTGGAAGAAAAAACACAGCCACAGGCAGAACCAAAAGAAGGAGCGGAGGAAGCAGCTGAAGAAGCCGGAATGGCAGGTCGAGCGCGAGGGGATCAGCCGCCTGATGCAGAACTACGAGAAGGTGAGGCGGGCTTTGGGGAGCGCGGGTGGGCGCCGCGGGGCCGAGTCGCCGCGGTGGTGGACATCGGGGAATGGTGGTGCGGGAAAGGGGCGGACCCGGCCAGGGAGGCCTCACGGGTAGTCTGTTGGGTGTCGCTACCCAGGTCTGGCTCCTCTGCTTGCCACAGTTCTGGGAAAAGTGATAGAAATGCGGTAATACTCCGGGGAGGGACACTTAGTGCAGCAGGGATTACAGAATAGGGCGGTAGTGACAGCTGAGGAAAAAACATAGCGAATGGAGGGAGCGCCAAGGATGTATAGTTCAGTAGAGTGCTTGCCCAACATTCAGGGAGCCCTGGGTTCCATCTCCAGCTCCACATAAATGGGACACATTCTGAGCACTAGGGAGGTGGAGGCAGGGGGATCAGAAGTACAAAGTCTTCCACAGCTTTATAGCAAGTTCGAGGTCAGCCAGGGATACATGAAACTCTGTTTCAAAAACAAAATAAATAAGATAATGAAATGTGGAATGATATAAGAGAATGCTGTTCTTCTTGGGAAATGCTTAAAATAATAAAAATAATGTCTACCTTTAAAAGTACTCTCCATGTGTTTTACGCGTATTCTTTGCCTCTATCTTAGGTATGGATCTCAATATTCCACTTTATTGATGAGAACAGTAGAGTTTGGAGAGGATAAGACCTTGTCCTAATTTCTCACATCTAGTAGTATGGAGTTGGAACCTAGACCTGTGTCTGTTTCCAAAGCTTTGGCCTTTTAAGTTTGGCATTTGCCTTCATCCTTTAGCATAATTCTGTTCCGTCTTATTTCCTTACTCCGTGTTTTTCAAATCAGTATAGAGAAACTGAGTAGTCTCATAGTTAACGCTTTGACAAGCTGACATCTCTTCCTGCCCTAGGCTTCAGCTCCTTAGGAATGTTACTTCCTCTCCTTCCCCATAAAACCGGTATTTTTCAGCATTCATGTACCTCACTTAGACTCTCTGTGAATGCCCCCTTTCTAGTGTAGGGACTTAATAGGTGCACTCATCTTGGAATTAAAGTCATTACTTGTTATCTTGTAGCTTAAACAACAACATCAACAGAAGATAAACTGTTGAGAGTTGGTAGCATTTAAGAGTTAGTTTGGGTGTTGAGTTCAGATAATTTGATTATGATTTTGCTCACCAGCTGTGTGACTTTGGTTATGTTTTACACTAGTTTCTCTCTTTAAAAGGTTTAGCAATAGCACCTACCTTATAAGTTGTGACGAATTAGTAAAATAATATGTAGAAAGCATTATTTACAATGCCTGTCATATATAAATAATCAGTTAAAGAAGAAGTCATTAAAAGCAAATTACTTTGGGGACAGGGTGTATCTGTGATGTGGTGGTAGTGGCACACACCTTTAATCCCAGCACTCAGGAGACAGAGGCAGTCAGATCTCAGAGTTTGAGGCCAGCCTGGTGTACAGAGCAAGTTCCAAGACAGTCAAGGCTATGCAGAGAAACCCTATCTCAAAAACCTACAACCAACCAACCAACCAACCAACCAAAAAAACAAATTGCCTTTGGATTTCGTTTTGGACTGTGGCTAGAATTGCTTAGGGAATGTAACCTTAGCCTTTGCCTGGTTTACACCTGTGGATCTGTGATTCCTTATTTTGCTCTACCCAGAGTTCACATCCTTATGTCTGCCTGTGCGGCAGAATCTACACACTTGGGTACAGGATACCATGAAGACTAGCAGTCATTGTCTTCTCTCCTCTACCTCGGCCTCCTTCCTAAGTTTATAATCTTATCAACTTTATAATTGGTTTCTGTTGTCACTGTAGCACAGTGCCATAAACTTCTGTTTTAAAAGCTTGTATTTTCATACCCCTGGAGTCCAGAGTGTGATATCACTTTCATTGGCCAAAAAATCAGGGTGTCAGCCAGGCTACCCATGCTACCTTTGATAGCATCTAAGGGTGAATCACTTCCTTTCCTCTTCCCTCTTGAGGTTGCTGATCTTTGGCCTGGCTGGGTTGTAGGACAGTGTGTGAGTGGGAGGATTTGTATACTGGGAGTGTGTGTGTGTGTGTGTGTGTGTGTGTGTGTAATGGTCAGGGTGTGGAACATGTGGGACAGTGTTATGGGTGCGTGGGCAGGAAGGGGTGTGGGTACCTATGAGCAGGATGTTTGTAGGAGTGTGTGTATGTGGGGAGAAGGGTATGTGTGTGGGAGGGTTTGTTTGTGGTAAGGATGTGTGTGTGTGTGTGTGTGTGTGTGTGTGTGTAAAGGTGTGGAATAGGGTGTGTGTGTGTGGGTAAAGTGTGGGGGTGATTGAGAATAGAGTGAGTGTGTGGAAAAGGAGGCCTCATTGGGGGGTAGGGGAGAGTGCCTTGGGATGGTAGGAGAGCTATGCATATATTTGGGAAGGGTGTGTGGGGTGCGTGTGTGTGTGTGTGTGTGTGTGTGTGTGTGTGTGTGATGGGGTGTTTTGGGAAAATGTGCATTTGTGTGGGCAGTAGAATATGTGTGTGGAGGATTAGGGTGTGAGCGAAACTTATGGAAGGAGGATGTGTGCATGGGATCTGGAGTATTGGGATTATATTTCTAGAAATCCACGGAGTCTATTTAATGAGCAAAGGAATTTATTTGGGAGTTAATTTACAAGACAGAATCAAGGAGTTTGTCACAGGATCTTGGAAGGGTGAGGCACGGTCCAATGCTGTTCTCTAGCGAGCTCTGCCCTGGTCCATTCCAGCATTCAAAACCACGAGATAGCAAAGAGAGAGCGCCTAAGTGCATCCCAGGTCTTAAGGGTCCCCCAGCGGCCACACCCCAGGGGCATGTATCTCAAGGTCATAGGCAGGTGCAACAGTTACAGCTGCCTCTCTGGGGTGGTGCTTCAGGGCACGGCTCAAACACTGCATAATGAGGGGGTGGGGTTAGGGTATATGTATGTGAAGGAAAGGGGAAGGGTGTGCCATGAAGGTTGGCGATGTGAGTAGGGGAGGTGGAGTGTGTGTGCGCACATGTGATAGAGTAGTGCAGAACTGGGGAGTGAGGCTTGTGAGAATATGGAGCTGTTTGTTTTAGTTCAGCAACTGTTTTCACTCTTCCCGAGTCACTCAAAGACTGTTACAATCAGCCATGCTATAGAGAAATGCAGCATTCTGCAAATGGTTTTAAATCAAAATTTGACCTGGTGGTTGGAGGCAGGTTGCTTTTTCTTTTGATTGAAGTAAATGGAACATTCTGTGATGTTTTTATCCTTTTTATTCCATTCATTAATATTTGTGAGAAACAGGTGTTATCAGACGGGGGTGGGGGGGTCAAGTAAAAAGTATAAGAGGGTGATTAAATGATAATCTATTCTGTTCTGCTCTCTTGCACCAGCCAATGTTGAAATCCTTAAAAGTATTTGCTCACTGTTATGAAGGACACAGAATTTAGAGGGCATTTGACACTGAGGAGACTGAGTGGTGGAACACTAGTCATTGTCTCTTTATTCTAAGTAAAGGACAGAGGGAGGAGTGTTACTTTGTTCATTAAGATCATGTCCTATTGTAGGTTTCAAGAATTCTCTTGAATATAATCTTCTGAGTAGGGGTTGACAAAGTGCTACATATTTAATATCAGGCTTTCTGGGGTCTACAACCTGTCACAACTGTGTAGATAATGTATAAATGACTGGCTGTAGCTGTTTTTCACCAAATCTGTTGTCAAAGTCAGGTAGCAAATTGGATTTGACTAGTAGGCATTAGCTAAATCAAGACTTCCTATTTCTTCCTTATAATAACATGTACATAGCTCTGTACTGGAATGGTTGGCAGTGTGATGTTAAAACTTTCATTTTTCCCAGTTGAATTTTCCTAGGAGGCTAGCAGACTTGAGGAAGATGTACTACACTTTCTTTATACTTTGAAAGCACTGCTTGCCTGTGCTATGTCTGGTGGAGCTTGCAGAGCTGGCTGCCTGCCTCTTCTGTATTAGTTACTTTTCTCTTTGTTATGTCCAAAAATACCTGACAAGAAGCAGCTTAAGGAAGGAAGGGTTTATTTCGACTGTAATGAGGAGATACAGTCTGCCATGGCAGGAAAGACCTGATGGCAGGAACATGAGGCCACTGGTCATGTTGTGTCTAGAGTCAGGAAGCAGAGGAAATTGAATGTTGGTATTCATCTACATTTCTTCTTTTTATTTAGTCTGGAATTCCAGCCCATGTAATGGTGCTGTCCACATTTAGGTCTTTGCACCCCAGTTAGCTCAGACTAGAAATTTTGGACAGTTATGTCAAGAAGTTTGTATTCTATGTGATTTTAGATTTCATCTAGTTGATTGTGTCAACTGTCACAGTCTACCTCTTGCAACTTGATGTCTAAACATATCACTTTAAAGATGTGACCTTCTGCCCCTTGTCTGCCATTGGCTCAAGACAATCTCATAATGTAAAATGCATCTGTTTCATCTCTAAAAGTCCCCATAGTGTTTTGTTTTTTTTTTAAACTAGTCCCAACTTTGTTTAAAAAGTCCAGTTTCTTCTGAGGCCAAGGCAAGCTCTTAATTGTGAGCTCCTATAAAATAAAAACAAGTTCTATAGTTCTAATACATAATAGCACAAAGTCAACATCTCATTCCAAAAGGAAGGAATGAATGATTTGATGAAAGCAATACTGAAACCTAGCAGGACAAATAACAAATCTTGAAATTCCAGGTCTGACACTGGAGACTAGTGAAGGAATCATCTGGGCTTGGATGACTCCACCTCTGTAGCTTTATCACCTGCAACACACATGCCCTCTCTCTTGGGTTGCCTCCATTCTGTGACTGAACTTTCATCAGTGGACGTCCTATGGTCCAGCATCTTAGTGTTCGCCATCACACATTCACATAATGGCTTCTCAGGGCCTTCTTGCTGAGACTCTGACCCTGCTACACATTTGCCTGGCCTAGTGGCTTTTGGAACCTTAGCGTAAACCTCCATGATCCCCTGTTCTTGCATCTTTCCTGCCTGCGCCTATAAAACTAGTACATGTGGATGGCATTGCCAAACTGCAAGTTCTCCTGTCAGCTTTAGATATAGCCTGGCCACTTTGGAGTACACTTGGGTCAGCTTCTTTGTGTCCACCCCAGAAAGCACTTCCTAGGTGGTTGGCTTTAGAGCGGGGAGCTTCTTCAGTGGCATTCTCACTTTAGGTCCTTTTCTTTCAAATGAATTTGCATTTCCTTTAGATGGAGACTTCATTAGGTAGAGTCCTGTTCTGAGACACCTTTTCCAGCAGAACATAGGGTTCCCCTAATGGTGCCAATCTAACAGTTTACAGTTGCTTTTCCAGCAGAACATAGGGTTCCCCTAATGGTGCCAATCTAACAGTTTACAGTTGCTTTCTCAGCAATCGTATTTCCTGAAACTTTAAATTTCCTCTTTCCTTGCCAAATGGTACATTTTCCCTGTCTGTCTGCTTCTTTTGTTACATGTTTTCACTGTAGACCTGGTTGAGAGCAGTAAGCTGTAACCATGACACTGACAGGTTGACTGCTACCCTGGCTTGAGATCCCCTTGCAAAACAAATTAAGCCATTTTTTTGAGTTTATCTTCATTCATGTTCTCAGGACACAGGCAGAATGCACACAGATTCTTGGGCAGAGTATGACATGAATGGTTTCTAGTATAGGTCTGTCTGGACAGTCTTTTTGTCCCTCTGAATCTCATGAGCTGGGTGGGCCTCCACTGTCTGCATTTCTCCTGGCATGCTGGTCTTTTGAACTGTCACCTATGCTTGCACACTCCAAGAGTTCTCTAGCTTGAAGTTTCATACTCTTTTACATTCCTCTTTCAGACAAGTGCTGAAGGTGTATAAATCACACCATCAGGCTTATCATAGCAACAGGCCTAGTTCTTGGTACCATTTTTCTGTATTAGTTACTTATCTCATTGTTGTGAGCCAAAAATACCTGACAGGAAGCATCTTAAGGAAGGAAGGGTTTATTTTGGCTTAGAGTTTGAGGGGATTCAGTCTCTCTTGTCAGGGAGGAGGTGGCAGCAGGGGTGTGAGATGGCTGGTCATGTTTTGTCCACAGTTAGGAGACAGATGAATGCTGGTACTGCCTACGTTTGGGTTGGGTCTTCCCACCTCCATTAACCCAATCTAGAAACTGCATCATAGACATGTCTGAACGTTTGTTTCCTAGTGATTCTGTATTCTTTCATGCTGACAGTCAGTGTTAAACATTACTCCTTCCTCCTTTGGGTATTCTACATCCTGTGAAAGCACTCATTAGTTACTGATGCTTCAAATATAAGGAAGGAGAAACACATCTTATGTCCTCTTATAAACAGAGTACCTGCCAATTTGTTCTGCCATAGGACTTGATGTTATTTGAATGAGTAGCTTTTATTTAGAAGCGGCGGTTCGCCTCTAATTCTGCTATATGAAGGATGAGCTAGGCAGCAAAATGTAGGGTAAAGGGGGAGGGGTGTATTATGAACTAATGAATCATCTAGCAATTCTTATCTGACATTATTTCTTTTTTACAATCTTTTTTTTCCAGATAAATGTAAATGAAATTACAAGATTTTCAGATTTCCCTTTGTCCAAAAAAACATTGAAAGGTAGGTATATATGCTCATTTTAGGATAAATTGTTAGATTTATTCATGTCTTCTCAATTTTTAAAAAAGTGCATATGTATGTTCATGTGTATGCCTGTACATATGTGCTTGTGTGTGGAGGCCAGATGACAGCCTTGGGTATTATCTTCATGAAACCGTTTATCTCTGTTAAGGCAGGGTTTCTCATTGACTGGAGCTCCTTCATTAGACTAGATTGCCTGGCCATCAAGCCCCAGGAGTCTCCCTGTTTTTACCTCCCGGTCTAGGTTGAAGAGCACACACCATATGTGGCATTTTTTGTAGGTCTTGGGGATTGAACTCAGGTCCTCATGCTTGTGAGGTCAGCACTTTACTGATTGAGCTGTTGCTCTAGCCCTGTGCCTTTTCTTTAAGAGAAGTCATGAAATACCATAAATACAAGGTCTGCTTTTTTGAAACAGTTTTGTTTTGTGGTCCAGGAAAGCCTTGAACTCCCTATATAGTCCAGACTGTCCTCAAACTCTGCACTCTTCCTGCCCGGCATGTACCATCAACCCCACCTCTAAAGTACTGAATTTTAACCATTTTTATTTCCTATTCTTTCTGGATTGGTTGCAGAAGATTAGTTAGAAAGGACCAGACTGAAACTTGATGATTCTGTTAGTTCCACAGAAGAACAAACAAACATATGTTACCTTTGCATTAGGTTTTTTAGGGTAGCCGTAACAAAATAACAGCCTTAAGTAGCAGACATTTTCTTAGAATTGATGGCTGGAAGTCCAGGGATGAGGTGCTGGCAGGAATAGATAGTTCCGGGCTTTAAGAGACGGTCTGTGACAGGCTTGCCACCATGGCTTGCAGATGGCCTGTCTTTTGGAGTCATCTTTTTCTTTTTTGACGAAAATTGTGTATGTTTGTGGTATGCAACAGTGTGACTTGAACTATGTGTGTAAACCAAGCTCATTAGTGCACTTATTTTTCCTGCATAAGGACACTGAAATAGACTCTCAGCAATTTTCAAGCTTAAAAAGTATATCATTGACTATAGTTATTGTGTTACTATGATGTACAGTATATCTGGTTTTTGTTTTTGAGATATGTTTCATATATCCCAGATCGGCCCCATTACCACTATTGCTTTGTAGCTGAGGATGACCTTGAGCTTCTGATCTTCCTGTCTCTACGTTCTAACTACTGGTTTTATAGACGTACACCCAGGGACCAAACCCTGGGCTTCATCCAAACACTCTGCTGACTGAGCTATCCCCAGCCCACAGTGTATCTCTTGAGCTTATCCTAACCCATGTAACTTTGTGTTCTTTGAGTAATAGCTTTCTGTCTCCCCACCTCCCCAGTTTCTGGTAACAAGCTTGCTTTTGTTTTTAGGATATATAAATAGGAGATTGTCTGGTGTCTATCTTTCTGTGCCTGGCTTGTTTCATTTAATATATATAATTCTAGGTTCATCCATGTTGTCAGCATTCTGCATATTGTCTTAAGTCCTCAAATAAGCCTCTGTCTTGAACACTAGGACAATTAGTCTCCAGCTTAAAACAAAGAAAGCAGCTAATTTATTATTCTTCCTGGAGTGTGTGTGTTGGGTGGGGGTGTGAGTGCCACAGTGCCCATGTGAAGGCAGTCTTCTCCTCTCCCTTTGGTCCTGGGAGTCCGACTCAGGTCATCAGGCTTGCACAGGAAGCACTTTACCTGATGAGCCATCTCACTGGCCCATTTCCTGCAGCGTTGAAAGCTTGGAGCCATAAGCTTTTAGTTTTCAGGATATAGGCCTCAGTGATGGTCGGTTTGGAAGTCTAGCCTGTGAGCCTCCAGGACTTCAGAATTAAGTGAGCTGTGCTTTTCCTGATTTCCATCAGGGTAGAATAGAAGACCTTCCAGCCGTTTGTTTGTGATGGGAGTATACAATCCAGCCCATAGCATCATCCTTTCGGAATTTTCTTAAGTATCCTTCTCCTTTCTACACTGCTAGGTTTGCAAGAAGCCCAGTACCGCTTGGTAACAGAGATACAGAAGCAGACCATAGGGTTGGCTTTGCAAGGTAAAGATGTGCTTGGAGCTGCCAAAACTGGATCTGGCAAGACTTTGGCTTTTCTCATTCCAGTAAGTACATTTAGTTTGGATCACAGCCTCTATTATATAATTTTATTACATTCTATACCTACAAGGCAAGCAAATAGTTATTATGTAAACAGTTCTTTAATGTTGGAGTTTCTGGCCACATAGGAGCCACACCTATCTTGTTCTTTTCCTGCTCTCACACTCCTTAGCTCCACCGCAGTTCTTTGCCCATGGAAGGCACTCAGTAACTTGTTGCCATGAATGAGTCAGTGTGCTTTTATAAGCTACTGCATTCTGAAGGAGGTGGATAGTCTATCGTGGCAGTGTAGAATTGTCCTACCCTGTCTTTGTGCTTGGCTTTTTTCATTTGATATAATTCTCAGGATACCTGGTGGAGAAAGCTGTTGCCTGCCAGTGGTATTTATATTTGCTACTTGTTTAGGATAAGGCTGAATATATTCATGTTGTGAGAATTCTTTCCTCAGGGAGATGTAAGCAAAAATCTACTCCTGCCTTGCAGATACCACCAAGGAAACAAATTATGGTCCCACTGCAGTCCACCTTTGGGAGCCAGTGAGTTTATTGGCTTGCTTATAGAACATGAGTGAGGGGTTACTTCAAGAGGATGGATAACTCAAAAGCAACTGCACCATTGGAAAGTTTTCATCCCAGCATGGGTTGTGACATCCCCATAGCTGCACTGAGAGCTCCCCTCAGTTGGCCCACTACACTAGTATACTCTAGCACATCTTGAGACACTGAGGCCATGTACAGTTAGGGAAGGTGACATTTAAATGACTGGGAGGCACAGGAGGGAGTGAACAGAATCTCACATGAGGGTTCAGTGACCTTCTATTCTCTGCTATGAGAAATATCAACAAGCTCAATTTCTGGGCTCACTTGGTGGTAGTTACAGCTGTTCTGATTAAGATGCCAGCTGTTCAGCTTGGAAGATAGTATTCTGCAATAGCTCACTTCAGCTGGATTTGGGGATTTGTTGATAATTTCCTGGAACATTGGTAGCTGTCCTTTATAGTAGTAAGGTAGTAGAACTGCTTAGGAATTCACTTACATCTCATTTGCTTAGTTGGATTCTTAATTTGGTTCCTATAAAAACAACTGGCCCTGGGAGGAAGAAAGTCATGATTTGTTTCAAATACCTCAAAACTAGTTTTCTCTTAAATCCTAGCTGATTATTATTATTATTATTATTATTCCTATATGTCTTTTTACATATAGGAATTCAGTTACTATATGTCTTTTTACATATAGGAATTCAGTTACTGTAAAACTATAGGAGCTATACAGATTATAATGTGGTTTCTGTTTAGAAAATAATTTTCTTGTACCTGTTTCAGTGGTCTGTGGACTACACATACCCTCTCCAATAGCTGGTCTTCTGATTGTTTGGTTCTGACATCAGATAAGTTGTCTTAGGGCTTCTCTTTTCTCTCTGAACTAGGGTCGGATGTTTCTGTTAGTTGGAAGAAAACATCCCCAAGAGGTTTTCTTGGATTGGGTAAAACTTGTGAGAGGAATGCCTTTTGTTTGATGGTGTCTTTGATTTGGAGGAAAAGGTTGAGATTTTTCTAAGAGATTATTGAATACAAATTTGCTTTTGTCTTCAAGGTGTTGGAAGCCTTATACCGCCTGCAGTGGACTTCAGCAGATGGCCTGGGGGTTCTGATAATTTCACCTACTCGAGAACTGGCCTATCAGACATTTGAAGTTCTACGCAAAGTAGGAAAAAATCATGACTTTTCAGCTGGTCTCATCATTGGTGGAAAGGTTTGTCCTTATCTATCCCTTCCTTCAATAGGGCTATGCAGATGGCAGAGAGAAAGGAGATGGAGGAGGCATCTAAATGGATTGGCTGTCTAGGACGGGCCTCAGTGTGATCACTGTCTTTGAGAGCCTAGGTCCAGAAAGTCTGTTCTTGTCAGCATCTGAGTCGATGAGGTGACAGATGTATAGGTTAACTAGAGCAAACCTATTTGTGTGTGCTTTGGGAAAGAGAACATTGCAGTATGTGGACACAGTACTTTAGACACAGTGTCTAAGAGGCTGAACAATTACAAACCTGCTGTGTCAATACCACATGAAAGGAAGATAGATTGCTTTGAGGAATATTTATTTAGATCATGGTAAAGCCTGGTCAACTTTTGTTGACTTTTTAGTTCATCTGAGATGGTTGTGTCTGCTATGGTCACTTCTGGACTGTGAAGATAAGTAGTTCTTGAATTTCTATGCAAATGTATATAAGCAAGAAAGACGTAGCATCACAAGCCTTACCTGTAACTTGTCTTTAACATTTAGTAGCATCTGATGGTTCTTGTCTCAAATTGTAAACTACATTGCTTACTTAGCCCCCCATCCATAAGATGTAGGAGCTGTATGGGAGAGCCTGTTCAGTGCTTCTAGTTCTGACTTAAAGAGTGCAAGTAGTTCCAGTTTTTAAGACAGTTTTACTGACTTAATAGGAAATCAAGTCTTGGCTCAGTCATTTGTTGGTTTTTCTTAGCCTCAGAATCCTGGATATGAATAAGGGGTCGAGAAGAGCTCTCAGGTCTTTACTGAGGACTTTGATTTAGTGTGGAAATGTGGGTGTGTTACAAAACTGGAAGGAAGAATTGGTATTTGTTTCTAAATATCTAAACTGCTCTGACAAAATTGCATGTGCAAGTGGCTTTTACAGTGGTGCACAGGCTGCTGCGAGACGTCTGTGTGTAATTAAAGAAACAACTGTTTGCAGGATTTGAAACATGAAGCTGAGAGGATCAACAACATAAATATACTCGTTTGCACACCAGGTCGACTTCTTCAACACATGGATGAAACAATATGTTTTCATGCCACCAATCTTCAGATGTTAGGTGGGTCTTAGGATTTCTGATAAAAAACAACCCCCCCCCCCAAAAAAAAGCCTCCTAAACCCCCCAAAACCAAAACCCCCTAAAAAAGCCAGATCATTACCAAGAAAGCTCTCCTGAGATTTAATAGTGGAACTGTCATATTAGATAACATGATGAAAACAATCTGAGAAATAATTTGTACTTTTTTTTTTGCTTTTCAAGACAGGGTTTCTCTGTGTAGTTTTGGTGCCTGTCCTGGATCTCACTCTGTAGACCAGGCTGGCCTCGACTCACAGAGATCCGCCTGCCTCTGCCTCCTGAGTGCTGGGATTAAAGGCGTGTGCCACTGCCCGGCATAATTTGTGCTTTTATTTTGACATTTGAGTTCTTAAACCGAGACAGTACAAGGTTGGTCGTTTTCTTTTTTCTTTTTTCTTTTTTTTTAATCGAAAGAGAAAGATGTATGGACTCTATGTATTTAACTAGGTACTTGGGTATTGGTCACTGACAGGTTTTTTCTTTTTTCTTTCTGGCACATGTGTGTTCAATCTGGGTGGGTGTGTATGGAGTCCAGAGGTTGATGTCAGGTGTCTTCCTCTATTTTTTTCTGCTTTATTTACCGAGGCAGGGTCTTCTGGTGAATTCAGAGTGCACCAGCTTGGCAAGTGCATCTGACCAGCTTGCATGGGGATCCTGTATTTCTTAAGTGCTGGGACTTTGCTCTAGTCTTTATACTTGCGTGGCAAGTGCTTGTACACTAAGCCATCTCCCTGACCTCCTCCTTTTTTTTTTTTCCTTTTAAGTAATACCTACTTTTGGTAACTTAAAAAATCAAATGATCATGTTTTAATGAACTTTTTTGCATAGAGATGCTACTTACTGGTATTTTAGTAGCTTTTCATTTGGAATGTTTCTGTACTTACAGAAAAATTACAGTGGTAGGATTTCTGTATTGCCCTTTACCCAGTTGCCTCTTGTTTTAAACTTGCACATAACCATGATCGATACCTTTGTCAATAGTAAGATTAACAATGTACTGGGTAAATTTTAACACTCGGTTTCTTTGTTTAGATTTTATCAGTTTTCTACTATATTATTATTGTTTTGTTTTGAATTGGGATTCTGGAATTTGAACCCAGGGCCTTGTACATGCTAGGCAATTAGCTTAGCTAAGGCCTTTTTCTGCTTTAGGATTCCAAGCAGTGTACTAACTGCATTTAGCATAATGTATTCTTTCAAATTATAGAGCAACTTGTGTCTTTGCTTTTTCAGTTCTTGATGAAGCAGATAGGATCTTGGACATGGGCTTTGCTGACACCATGAATGCTATTATTGAAAATCTTCCCAAGAAGCGCCAGACTTTACTTTTCTCAGCCACACAGACCAAATCTGTAAAGGACCTTGCACGCTTAAGTTTGAAAGACCCTGAATATGTTTGGGTTCATGAAAAAGCAAAATACAGGTAGGAACTCTTTTCTTCCTGAACCATCTTTTTAGTTCAAGAATTGATATTCTAAATTTTTATTTTGTATGGAATATGCTTTTTGTCATTAGTTACACAGGATATACTATTCATGTCTATTAAGATTAGTCAAATTCTGAGTACGTTTAAGTATGAGAATATTTTAATGTAGCATTTCTGAAAATGTGGTCTGGAGAACAAACATTTTTGATATGATGTTAACAGATCTTTTACCATTTACTAACTATTCCCACCATAAATGAGAGAGAAAACATCAATTTTTAGATGATAATAGCAAACACTGAGTTAAAGTCACACACTGCTCTTGACAAAATTCTCAGAATCTTTAATGTTTCTATTGACATTGTGACTCTAAAGTAGTGAAATGGATATAGTGTGCTAAATCTATTACAATTGAGTACAAAGTCACACTGTTAAGCAGTAGTAATGCATTATGGAACATATCAAATATACTAATATTTACCAAAATGGTTTTCTGTTTGGAATTATTATAGCTACTCTTATTTTTATCTTAGACTTAATAAATGTAGACTGTAGTGTATATGTTTATGTGACAGTCAAGAATGTATATGTTTGTGGGATAAAAATAGTTGGAATTGTGTTTTAAATAGTATTTAATACCTGATATGAGTCATTATAGACTATGGACATAGTTGACTTCTGAAGATGCATTTTACATTGACAATAAGTTAGATGTTATAAAGATATCAATTTGTATTCAAATTTGCTCTTGTTTCATCTTAAAAGTTTCATTTCTTTTTTTGATGAAGAAATGTCAGTCTAAAGAAAGGTTTGGAAAAAGAATTCTAATTTTGATTGAAAAATTTAAAATATAGTTCTTAAATATAAATATATACTATAGGTATTTAACCCACTTTGACTTTGTAGACCAGATGTCTAAGGTTAAAGAAAAACCTGAGCTGGGTGGGGTGCCTGATGCCTTTAATCCCAGCACTTGGGAGGCAGAGGCAGGCAGATCTCTGTGAGTTCGAGGCCAACCTGCTCAACAGAGCAAGTTCCAGGACAGCCAAGACTATACAGAGAAACCCTGTCTTGAACAACCCCACCCACCAAAAAAAGAAAGAAAAACCTGGACTCCATGATTTCTGGTGATTTTGATGGATACACTTTGGAGAATATGAGTTCTGGTGGCTTTGGCTACATGGACATGGGAATGGGATATTAAGAAGTACTAGAGGAATAGTTTTTCCTTGACTTACTCTTGAGGGGACTTTTTTTTTTTTTGAGTTACGTTGAGGTATCTTAATATTTTTGTTAGGATAAACTTGATGTAGACACTATCTAGGTTAGTTTGAATTACTCACATCTCATTGTTGATAACAGAATTGGTTATCTATAGATCATAAGATTTTAGAAAGATTTGAATGCAAGTACTTTGATTTCATATAACAAATGAGTTTTGAAACATAGTTTTGCCGTTTGTAAAGCTGTGACTTAAGGTAGATGTATCGGTATGTAGCTTACTACGTTGTGCCTTTACAATAATGACTGTAGGATTCTGATCCAAGATTCTGAAGCACTAAATGAAAGCAGGTGCTGCTGGGACTTTTGTGTAATGTTCTTATAGACTTTTCTTCTTTAAGAGCATTACTGTGGTTAACAGTTTAAGAAAGATAAACAAGACTGTTTTGCCTGGACTACTGGTGCAGCTCTGTAAGTCCAGTTATTTGGGAGGCTGAGGCAGGAGGTTCACAAATTGAAGGCCTACCTTAGCCACTTAGTGAATCTCTGCCTTGAAATAAAAAGTTAAAAGAGGCACAGCATATAAATCAGTTTGTCCCTAACATTCATGAGACTCTAGGATTCAGTCTTTAGTTGCAAACCCAGACCAAGACCCAAACTGTAAAAACCATTGTATGTAGATATCTTCTCAAATTGTGTGAAAGACCCAAGAATTAAGTGTAGGTTTTCTTAAAGATGAACATCAGAATGTATTTATAAAAAGTACACTGGTGTTTTCTTTATATTACTATATGTGGATAAATGATGCTTATAATGGTTTTCAGGGAAATAGCTGTTGTTGTGCCATAGCAAATTAGTCATGTTTTTCAATGACTATAGGTTAAATTATGTAGAGAAGTAGGAAAGATTTCAAATTTTAGATAATGTTGTTGAGCTATTCTGTACATACAGAGTTAGTATTGGAGTATTGTATTTTGTATTAATATTAGACATTAATCCTTAAAAATGTATCATATTTACTAAATTTTGACCTTAATATCTACCTTGGTACTAGTTATTTGGGTCATTCAAACTTTTCTTTTGTTACTGTTTTACTAGTTAATCCTTCGCTATCCTTTTACTATGTCACCCTACCACCTTGTGCATGGTAGGCAGGTGGTATAGTACTGAGCTATACTGTCAGCCCTTGGTGTCATGCTCTTAAGCTATAATGTGAGACTGCCATAATCTTTGCTCATTTCTATAGCTTCCTACAGAAGCTTTTTGCTTGTCAGTATCACACATTTTTCCTGTGTACACTCAGTTTAGGAACTGGCTTACCCCTTTAGGGTAAATTGAAAAGTTTAGGTATAGTTTTTCTTCTTTGGAGATCTTGGGGCTAAAATGTTGATCTTGGGACTTGCATGTCACTTGTCTTGAAAGTAGATGATTTGGGTGGAAAATGAAGTTCATATGTTGCCTGCCTCATACTTGTTTTTTCCTTTAGTAGATCAAATCTTGACTGCCTTGGTTGCTTTTCAGGTACCTTCAGTCTTTTTAAAAAAGTTTTTGTTTTGTATTAAATCTAGCTAGAGTTCTGGGTCAAAAGGTTAAACTCATGCAGTTAGCTACTTTATGGTAGGAACCAATACCTATAACTTTATAATTTTGGCAGCTGATGATTACTGCCTTGATCCATTATTTCGTTAGGGTTTGTAACATTATGTGATTCTGTCTGTATCATTTCTTGGCTGGAATATTTTATATCCATCAGCTGTCCTGTAAACTATGTTAGGCTAGGGAATGGTTCTTAGAGGAAAGTTAGACTAATGAGTATGTGCTTTATTCTCTTTATCAGCTTTTAGGTTGAGTTGGTAGCTTACTTGATACTGTGACCAGTTTTTTTTCTTTTGTACTAAGACTCAGACTTGATGATTAGTGATACCTCTGATAAATTAATGATTTTTAGTATATAGATTTAAACCATTTTTACATTTTTCATGCAACAGAAATTATTTAATATTTTCTCTGGAGTTGTCTTGTGCTTGTCTTAGAATATGATGTTCAGGCTGTTTCCTGAGTCGGTGTGACATGTCTACCCTTGGTCCTTGGTCTCATTGCTTTACGGTGTTCTAGGTTCATCTTACATTTTTCTGGCTCTCATAAAATCCTTTTAGCAGGATATATAATTTAAATATCAGAATCTAAGTGCTGGTAGGATGGGTTTTGTGTGTAGAGGTTTTTCAGCAGATAAACTTTTTAAGAGTAAGCGCATTGCTTCTTACTTAGAAATCAAGGTTAAGGTTGGGGGCTTTTTACTCAGCTCTGTTTTCTAAAAAAGTGTGTTCTTTGTACCAAATACCTTCATTTCTACAGACTATACTTAATTAGTCATCAAATCTACAATAATCTAAGGCTATTACCAACACTAGCAACACTGATTACTTAGAAAAGTCTTAGGTTCCTTTGCATTCCTTTTTTTGTTAGGCATTGTAACAAAGTACTTCGAAATAATTTCTGTGTTGTTGAATATCAACTTATTTCTTTTTATTTTGCTCTGTTAACACATTTCTTTGTGGTTATGGCCTATTTGCTTTAATTTTAAATACTTTTGTTTGTTTTGAGCCAGGGTCTTATGTATCTCAGACTGATCTCAAAGAGGCTCTGCCTCTTGAAGGTTGGGAGTACATGCCTATTATTCCACCATACAGGGTTGTGTTTGGCACTGGGTATGGAATTTAAGACCTCAGCTATGCTAGGTAAGCACTATGCTTGCTGAGCTACATCCCTATCTGTTTAAAGGGATCTTTCAGGGCAGTTACAGAATCACAGTAAGTTTGAGAGGAAGGTACTGAGAATTTCTATATGCCTCTTTCTGCCACTTAGTCTCTTCTAGTACCAACATTCCTAATAAAGTTGGACCTTTGCTACATTGATATAGATGCCCTGTTGTAATCTTATTAATTACCCCAAGTATATAGTTTATGTTAGGACTGTTGTTTAGATATGGAATGTTTTACAGAGAGAGGTTCATATATTGAAGGCTTGATCCCTCGCCAGTAGTATTATTGGGAGGTTTTGGAAACCTTTAGGGTGCAGTGTAGTTGGAAGTCATTAAGGGCTTGATGTTGAAGGATATGTGGAAACCCCATGTCTCTTCCCTTTCCTTTTGCTTTTTGGCTGCCCATGAGGTAAGATTTCTGCCATGGGATTCCATCCTAGGGCTAAATGCATTGGGCAAGTTGTCAGCAGAGGTAGACGTGGATCACTGCTCCACATTGTTGTTGATAGTGATCTGAGCTTTATTAGAGATGTCCACTTAGGCAAACCCAGAATTCTTGACTTTTATGCAGAAAATAATTTCAGTACTAGATATTATGAAACAGTTTATTAAAAGAGATTATAATAAAGATCTTCAGTATGAGGTTAGGAGAAAGAGGCACCTGAGAAAGATAAGACATTGAAGTATGTTTGTGGGCTTCTCAAATGAGTGTAGCACTTCAGTGTCTTTATAGGATTTTGGTGATTTTTGAAGTTGTTGTCTTCGAAGATTTGCTACAGGATTTATTAAACGAGGTCACATGGGATTTTCTGAGGTATATCTTGGCATAGGTGACAGGGACAGAGACAGAACTCCTCACTGTCACTGACATCAGTCAAAATAGTACTCTTACCTATTAGGAACCTCCATTTGGGGATCACTGGAAGGAGTTTCTGGATAAGTCAGCGTGACACAGGGTTTTTAAAAAGTACTTTTAATGTAGCTCCTAAGCACATGGGTTAATAGCGAGGTGCCCAGTGTAATCCTAAGGAATACTCAGACAGGGATCTGGGCTTCCCAAGGGAGAGTCATAGCTTACTGTTAGTAGACTGGTTGTATATATCTGTGCTTTCTAGGTTACATTGCTCAGAGAGTGGAATTCACAATAAGGTTTAAAGGATCAAGATTTTTTTTTTTAAGAAATGTTATGTATATTTGTTAGGAATATTGTTTAAATCTAGGAATGACAGGAGTCCTCTGTGTGTGTGTGTGTGTGTGTGTGTGTGTGTGTGTGTGTGTGTGTGTCCGTGTGTCCGTGTGATCATCCCATCCCTGCAAGTGCCACAGATGGCAGGGAAATGATCTGCAAGAGGTAAGAAGGAAAAGTTTATTCAGCCTAACTTAGTTGGTGCTGATGGATTCCTAGAGAACCTGACACAAGGCAGTTTATTGTGAGCGTATTTAAACATGGTACAATTTGGGGAAAACTTCTTGGTGTAACACAATCCCTAGAGCACAGGGAGGCATAATTACATTGACTCACAGTACACGTGACTATGGAGCTGGGCTCTGTAGCTTAGGGGCCTAGGATCTGGTGTAGTCTCTGACTGAGATAGTGCAGAGGTCAGGTACAGTGACATCTCCCCTAAGGGTGGGTCCTATTGGGTTCTATTGACTGAGAAACAAAGCTAAAGCTAAAGGTCTGGTGGGTGTGAGTCTAGGTAAACACTCTGGGGGATTTGGGTGAGGTCTGACTCTACAGATAGCAAAGATCACCAGGTCATTAACAACATCCATTTCCAGCCTTATGGGTGGAAAACAAGTATTCATTTACTCCTTTGAAGAGACAATCTTGCATGATTAACATTCCTGGTTTCCCTGATGATCTGTGGGTACAAGGACCTTGGTGCTCCCAATAGAATGCTAATAAATATTCATAGTAACAGCTCATTATGGCTCATAAGTATTTTCCCCTCTTTATCTGTATATATGCATGTGCACACCTTTGTGTATGTGTGTGTGTGTAGGTGCCTGGTTGCCATGGTGTGCATGTGGAGGTCAGAGGACAGACAGTCTTGGTTGTACCTTGTTTGAAACAAAGTCCATTTGTTATTTTTCAGTGCATATACCAGGCTATTTTGATCTGCAGTCTTCTGGGGACTCTCTGTCTCTGCTTTTCATCTTGTGGTAGGAGCACTAGGGTTATAGATGCTCTTCTGCTTATGTGGGTCCTGGGGATTTGAACTCAAGCTCTCATTCATGTACTGTGAATGTGAATCTTAGAGTCCTTGAGCCATCCTCAAATCCTGAGGTATCTCTTGTAAAATATTTATCATTTTAGACTCGGGAGGCAGAGGCAGGCAGATCTCTGTGAGTTCGAGGCCAGCCTGGGCTACAGAGTGAGTTCCAGGAGAGGCGCAAAGCTACACAGAGAAACCCTGTCTCGAAAAACCAAAAAAAAAAAAAAAAAAAAAAATTTATCATTTTAGTCCTAAGTAAGCACGATTATTTTTTCTTTGACAAGATAGCTTTAGGAAACATATTGTTCAGTAGACCGTTTGGACTTCATCAGTGGTGTCTGTTGTACCCTGGGTGCGAGACCCCCAAAGAGACCACCAGAGACACGAACTCGCCAAAATGCAAAAGCAAGGATTATTGGAGCAATTCAAGCAGCGCAGCAGGGACCTAGTCGAACACCCCATGCAGCTGAGGCTAGAGGAGGTGCCAGCCCCTCTGCAAGCTTGGTTTTTAAAGGCAAAAATCACAGGGTTTATATCAGTTAGGGGTGCTAATACAGGTATAGTTCTGATTGACTCAAGTTTTAGGGGCTTTTCAAAATTTCTGTGTTATCTTACTTTACAGTTTTGGCCAGTTGTTTGTCAAACTTTATAGACTGTCTCCAGCATTGGGGCATTCAGTGGTTAATCAGTTGATACCAGATAGTCTGTCAAACATTTTGACTTTGTACTTTTGAGTTCCTGGGACCTATGTCAGCTGCTCTGAGAATTTCGAAACTTAGGCCTATTTCAAGCTGGGGTGAGGGGCTTGCTTGAAATGGGGGTGTTTTGGTTCTTCAATGTCTGAAGGTTTTAGATTTGTATTGCTGAGGATTGAACCTAGGGCCTTGTGTGTGCCCTGCAGGTGTTCTTCCACTGAGCTAAACCCCAGTCCTGACAACTTTTTACTGCCGACATTACTTTATTATCTCAGTATAACACATTTTATCCATTCACTTGTTACAGAGCATCTTGATTGCTTCTAAGTTGTGGTGGTTGGGAATAAAATTGTTAAACATCTGGGTGCAGGTTTTTTGTGTGGACTGAATTTTCAGTTCTTTTGGGTAAATGCCAAAGAGTATGATTGCTGGACTAGGTGACAAGAATGGTTTGGGAAGAAAACTATCTTCAAAAGTGTTGTATCATTTCTCAAAATCTGGTATTGGAGGCTCTTAAGTATATAGCGGTATCTTGTTTTAAATTTGAATTTTCCTCATAAGCAGTAACCAAGGGGCATCTTACATGCTTTATTTGTTGCACAACATCTTTTATGTTCATTTGTGATCTGAACATTGCCTTTGGGCAGGTGACTGTTGAGAGCTTTATTTATTTTTTTCTCCTAAATTGGAGATTTGTGTTTTTATAAGCTTTTTTTGTGTTTCATGAAGAACAGTTCTTCTTCTTTTTTTTTTTTTTTTTTTTCTTTTTTGGTTTTTTTCGAGACAGGGTTTCTCTTTGTAGCTTTTTTGGAGCCTGTCCTGGAACTTGCTCTGTAGACCAGGCTGGCCTCGAACTCACAGAGATCTGCCTGGCTCTGCCTCCCGAGTGCTGGGATTAAAGGTGTGAGTCACCACCACCCAGCTGAGAACAGTTCTTTTTTGAATGTTTAGTTTGCAGATATTTTCTTACATACTTGGGCTTTTCTTTTCCTTCTCTCAACATAAGAGTTTATCATGAGTTAGAAAATTTAAATTTCAGTAATTTCTATTTTATTATTTCTTTTGGTATCTGAAAGCATTTGACTTTTAGTTTTTGGATTATCTGCCCCTTTTCCTTAAAACAATGTGGCTACACTTGGTAATGCAAGCATATGCATCTGTAGTGTTTATCACCAGTCTCACAGTACCAAACTCTCCTATTCTGTTACTTGCTTCTTTACTTAATGATAGATTCCAGAGGTCACTCCACAGTGACACATGAACATATATCACATTCTTTTTATAGTTGCAGAATACCTTGTGGTGTGGGTATTTAATAGTTCATTCCACAAGTTCCTTAGTAATGGACATTTGGGTTGATTTCTTTTTTAATTTTATTGTTTTCAAATAATGCCATATATCTTTTTATACCCCACATTAATTTGGAATAAAATTATAAGAGTTTTTCCAATAGTAACTATATACTTTTCAGATATTATTATGAATTTTCAAACATGTAACAAATTGAGATGTTTACAGTACATTCCTTAAAAATTTTGTTTATTCATAATTTCACACATATACATACATATATGCATATAATATACAGTCATTACATTTCCATTACTCTCTCTTACTTCCTTCTCCCCCCATTGAACCTCTGCTATAAGGCCCCCCTCCTACTTTCATGTCTACAGTACATTCTTTATACCTGCTATATATGTATTTACTCTGTACCAGTGATAATCGGTTTACTAGCCATTTCTTCATACTTTTGTGTATTAACCTATTTTAATGTTGGATGCCTGTAAGTGCTTCAGCATACATGATGACTAATGTGAGTTCAATATTGATATAGTCTCTTTTTTGTCAAGTTTACCATGAAATATGCAGGTATTAAGTCTGAATTGCTTAGATGAATGTTTATATTTCTCTAATCCCTAACCCAGTAAAAGATGTAGACATTAGCCATCAGCCCAGCAAAGTTTTCCTGTGCTACTTCTCATAGACGGTGGTCTTTACCTTCTTTTTGTGGTTGACTCTTGATCTTATACTGCTGTGTGTGTATATTTTCATACAACCTCTAGAAGATTTTGGATGTATTTAGCCATGGTGAGTTTCTTTTATAGGGACAATAGAGAAAAAAGTGTTTGTGCGGTAGAAATTGGGAGAATGGACCACTGGTAAATTTCCTTTTTTTAGTGTTGATTTCAAAGCAGCAGTATGACATTGTTAAAATAATTTGTTTTTCTTGATTTTTACAAGCACCCCTGCTACATTGGAACAAAACTATATAGTTTGTGAGCTGCACCAAAAAATCAGTGTGCTGTTTTCCTTTTTGAGAAGCCACCTAAAGAAGAAGAGTATTGTGTTCTTCTCCAGTTGCAAAGAGGTATTGACTCCTTAATTTTACCTTTTGAATGTGTTTGTGTTGGATCACTGTCCTTGAGCTGTCATATTTCAGTTAGACAATCATTACTCTGTGTGCTATGCAATGCTAGGAGACAGAGCTCTGTAAAAATTGATGATCCTGTGTTGTTGTTGTTGTTGTTGTTTTTCCCCCAAGACAGGGTTTCTCTGTGTAGCTTTGGAGCCTGTCCTGGAACTCTCTCTGTAGACCAGGCTGTTCTTGAACTCAGAGACCTGCCCGCCTCTGCCTTCCAGGTGCTGGGATTAAAGGCATGTGCCACTACTGCCTGGCTTAATCCTGTGTTTTTGTTGGAAAAGAAATCATGAATGAGACTTGAAGCCCATTGAAGGCAGACATTTTGCTGTCTTCTATTCAGTACTGTTTCAGATGTTAATGATTCTGGGAACACAGTAGTCTCCATCAAAAGTATTGGTAGAAGGAACTTAGCTAGACCAAGATGAGGCTTTTATAATGTGGCAGTTCTTTTTCCCTCCAAGAATATGGAACAGAATATTCCTTTTTATCTGTGCCTCAAACCTTGGTTCATGGTCATCTCTTTTTGGAATGCTTACCCTACATACCTTTACCCTGCCTCTAGATAAATAGTTGGTGCTTTTTAAGGCAAATTTGAATTGTTATACCTGAAAGTCCTTTTTAGGATCCTTTTAGGATCAGTTGTCCTTAAAAAAAAAACGTTCTGCAATATTTTGTCTATATCCTTATTTAGTTAATAAGTAATTGATGAAAATCAACCTTGTACTAGGAGTAAGGGATTCAGAGAAGTATATTTGTTTTCCTTTAAGGAGAAGAGCTCATGGTTGATTTATATACTACTTTCTCTGTATATTTAAGATTCCTGATGATGACATATAATAAACTCTAGGTTTATTGCCGATGCAGTAGCTTAGCATGCTAAATATGTAGGTGAGTTTCTCTCTAACTTGTGGGAAAAGAAGAGGTCTGTTTCTGTTGTCTACTGAAGCTGCTGGGAGCCATCCCCAGCAGTGGATGGGTCCTGCAGAGGGGGTAAGGAGTCGGTGGGAGAAGGAAGTGAGCCAGGCCATGGTGGTCGGGAGAATCTTGCAGCCTAACTGACTGACAGACAGAGTGTTTCTTTATTTATACAGAATTTAGTTAGCAGGGATACATTCATGATGTTCCAAAACATAGATCATATCATTTTTGGTTTTGGACATATGTTTCACTTCCTTTTGCTCATCTTTTAGTCATCACTAATAAACGATGACAGAACAGAGTTATCATTTCCAATCATTTTCCCTCAAGTTTTGATATCATTAATAGAGTTATCATTCTTACTCATTAACCCCATGACCCAATTTTTGAGAATCTAGAGGCATATGACAGTTTGTGCTCAAGCTGATTGCTTTGGTTGCTTCAAGGACACTAGACTAAAACAAAAAATCTTCAACCACCCTGGGCATTTTGCCATGTCTCAAGCAGTGTATTATTAACTCTTAGTGGTTAGAGTGCCCAGGAAAAATCCTCAGGCTAAAGCTGCTGCAGTTATTCAAATTCTGGCATGATACAATCAATGTTCACATTTATGTCTTTATAGAATTGGTCTATATGTCTAATCCTGGCATTCTGTTGTTCCTTGGTCATATGACATTATAGTGGCTCTACATGAGCTAACTTCTAAGAGAGGGAGGTCCTAACATCTCATACTTTCATCATCTTTCCTCTCCATATTTTGCTCATCAATATGTCTCTATGTAGGGCAGAGTTGCATGCCACATAATTGTCTGAGTGTATAGTGGGAAGAGGCTTGTAATCTGAACTGTGGACAATTCCTCTAGCCCACTGAGTCTTGTTGACCTTTTTAAGTTTACTTTGTTTTGAATATCTTGTTCCAGTGTAAGTAGAGGGACAGGTGTTTCACGACTGTCTCATAGCCTCATAAAGAGACCTCTGGCTTCTTTATGTGTCACAACCTCTAAGGCGTAAGGAAGACCCTCAAGTAGATAAGGATATCTCCCTCAAAGTGGGGGTGGATGGGGGGTAGTATGTTCAGGACTTTCCTGGATAAGCTTAGAAGCAGCATTCCTGGGAGAAGGCATAAATAATTGATTTTTCCATCAATCTAACATCCCCAAATTGTACAAATATTAAAAGTGCCCCAAGTATGTAACAGGTGGAGATGAAAACCAAAGGTGGCATGGCAGCCATCGTGTGGATCAGCTTTGCTGGATCTTTGTCAAGCAGCTGTGCTGGCTTTATGACTTCTGCCATTCTTTCAGATATGGCTGTGCCATGAAGCCTTTAATTTTTCTGTGTAAAGAATGATTTCAGGTATTCTTAGGACATATTTCAGAGTTAAATGAAAGGTTTACAACAAGCCCCCACGGTCAGGCGTGTCTGCATATGCCTGGCGGACACTTCCGCCTAGCTAGGTCCAGGTCCAGATAGCCATTTCCGGGTCAGGGCATCTCGCGTGACCAAGATCCATGACGTCCCACTAGCCACGTAAGCGCGCAACGTGGCCATGTGATCTACGCGCTTGCGTGTAGTAGTGACGCTGATCTGTCCACGCCCAGCCTTTAAAATCAGGCGCCATGTTCCCGGTTCCTTCTTCTCCACACACGTGTTTCCCGCAGGCCTGTTCACTCTCTGTCCCTTTAATAAAACTCTTGTTAGCGGATTCTGTCGTATTTCGTGGCATTTCCTTGCAGGGTAAGCACACAACGCAGCCGAAAAACTAACATTTTTGGTGCCATGACTTGGATTTATACCTCCTAGGGAAGAGTTGGGTTTGGTACTAGAGAATAAGAAATAATATACAGAGTTGTTTTTATTCTAACTCTTTCTTCTCACCATAGTAGTTAGTTGTCTGTGCTTGCCTGTCAGTGTATCAGTCAGACTTTACCACAGGACAGAATGCCTCATAGAATTGCCTTTAGGGAAGAATTAATTTAGACCGTGCCGTAAGAGGTCTTGGTTTGTCCTGGGGGTGTGCATGACTGAGCAGAGCAGCTCATGTCATGGCGGCCAGGGAGCGGAGAAAAAAGGCCTGCTCCAGATGCCCCTCCACATTTAGTCCCCTCCTCTTGGGTAGTCCTGTCTGGAAAAGCCCTCATAGCTGTATCAGGGGTGTGCTTTATTAATCTTCTCCCTCTAATCAAGTTGCTAATCAAGATCCACTATCCCAGTGGCCAACCCTGTGTGTTCTAGGCTGTCTTCTGTACAAATGTCTCTTCGTCTGGCCCATTTTTCTCTCTACCTTTTGTTGATAATTTTCCATACTAAGAATTAAAAGCAAACCCAACATTCCTGCCTTTTTCTGTACTTCACAGCAATGCCTCCTAAAGACTTATTCCTACTAGTTGAATCGACTTCTTCACCTTCTGTTCTGTTCTTGACCCTCTATTCAGGCAGCTCTTAAAGGTTACAACTTTCCAGTTTGTGCTCAGTTCTCAGTTCTCATCTTACTTGTCCTCGTAGAAAGAAGCATTTCCTCTCTCTTAAAATTTTGACTGTATACCCATTATTAACCTGTCTTTCTTCTAGGCTGCTGTTTGATCTATTTTAACTACTTTTGCTGGGTTTTTCCTCTGTTTGCTGGAATTTTGAGTACATCTGATCTCTTTTCTGCCTCCTTTTCTTAGTATGCTTTATGGGTAACCTTATGACTTTTGTGGTGTGAATACAGTCTGTATGCTGTCAACTGCAGAATCTACATCTCAAGTCCTGATTTCTTTCCTGAGCTCCCCTGCTGAGACTATCCAGTTGTATGTAGAAACCTCTCAAATAACAATGTAAGAGTTGCTGTTCCCACATCTGCTTCCCCCAACTTTTCTCCATTTTTGTAATCCTTAATTCCTGTCTTTTCATCCATAGTGATGTTATTGGTAATTCTTTAGCTTTATACCTTCTCGTCATCTCCCATGCTCCAGTACAGTTTGGACCATGCTTAACTTTCTGTTTGCCTCCTATTTGCTCTCCCCATTCTTTTAGATTTTCTACTTTAGCCAGAAGTCCTTGGGAAGTGGCCACTAGAATGTGTCACTGATTTGCCTAAAACCCTCTAATGCCTTTCTGTTAGAGAAGTCCAATCTTAGACTCCATAAGGTTTTAGGCCACACTTACCTTCCACTTCAGCTGGCTTGTTAAAGAACAGGAATCGAAGCCCATTCTTCATTCAAGAGAGTCAGATTGCAGAAGGTTTTCTTGAAGTAATTTAACTGAATTTCTGTATGTGTTTTTCTTAAAACTAACTTGCCTCAGTGCATCTATGGCCTACAGATTCGCCTTTACCATCTCCCTTTTCATGGTTGCCCCTTTGTGTATCTTTACAATAAAAGGGCACGAGTCCATTATTCCTGATATTACTGGTATAATGTGCTAGAATCATAGCTTCCCTGGCTCTAGAGTATTAAAGAACATAGAAGTAATAATAAAACAGCAGTGGTTGGTCCAAAAAGGAAGATGACACATAATTCCCTTTAGAAGTAATGCAGTTTATGTATTTAGGGGTAGACCTGTGTTCTAATATAGAGTTTTGCTGTTGGTAAAGCGAAAACACTTACACCTAGTAACAAGTTGTACATTTCAGGGGTTTTTGCATTATAGTCATCTTTTATTGTGGTTTTGGCATTTTTATAGTTCAAAAAGTTTTTTCCTTTGGGTCCATTTTCTTTTTAATTTATGTGAAGAAATTTTCTTAATATGTGTTAGAAATAATGTTGAATTCTGCTGCAGTCTAACAGTATCCAGTTAGTAATAAGTACCTAGTAAAGAAATAAAACTAAAACAATAGTTAACTCCTTTAGGCCTATACATTGAAATATATTTATAACAAAATTTTGTTTATGTCTAAGTTATTAAGTCCTATCTTTTCAGGAAGGAGGTCAGCTAAGTGCTCAGTCAGAGGAGAAGGCTAGTACAGCCTGTTGCTATAGGAAATAAATGTACAATTTGAGGACATTTTGTTGTAGAAATTTGTGAATTACAATGTGAGTAATAAAAGACTTTCAAGCTTAAAACCTAAGCTGCAGTTCTGTGAGATCAAGAGATAGAAAGGAAAGTTGCAGGAGGGAAGGAGACAAAGCTTACTTCTGTTAAAAGTTCTTCACGTGTTTCCCATAGCTTTACTATTTAGAATCTCCCAGATATGTATATGATAAAACTTTTTAATTTAAAATACAGTTTTATAGAAGTTATGTTCTTACAGCTATTCAAAACTAGAAAGAATTTAGGTGACTTAAAAATATAAGAATTTTTCTTTTTTTCAAATTATATTTTTAGTAATTGAGATTTTTAAAATTTTTTGAAATTAAAATTCTTTTAGAAAATATGTGAGCAAAAATGTTTCAAGACTTTAATTCTCGATTATGTTTTTTTTCTAAAAAACTGACAGTTGGTGAAATTTGTCCTCCATTCGGAGGACCGCACTTACCCTTCTGCTTGTGCCCAGGTTCAGTACCTGTACAGGGTGTTCTGCCGGCTGCGCCCAGGCATCTCTATCCTTGCTCTCCATGGCCGGCAGCAGCAGATGAGAAGAATGGAGGTCTACAACGAGTTTGTCCGAAAGAGGGCTGCGGTGCTTTTTGCTACTGACATTGCAGCCAGGGGACTGGGTAAGCAAACTAGCTGGAGTGTCATTTCTGTGGTCGTGGCAAATGTATTTACTTATAGGGTGTTTTTCTGGAACTCTGAGTCTCAGATCTTGTGAGAGACATTAGTAAATTGGTAAGTTGATAAACATGACAGATGACAGTGAAACTTTGTGTAGTATTTGTATCTCTTGTGAGCTTGGCTATGTTTCCTAATAATTAAATCATAATCCTGAGGAGCCTCTGTAGTCATCAAAGGAAGATGAAAGGATTAAAAGTTTACAACTGGGGCTGGAGAGATGGCTCAGAGGTTAAGAGCACTGCTTGTTCTTCCAAAGGTCCTGAGTTCAATTCCCAGCAACCACATGGTGGCTCACAGCCAACTGTAATGAGATCTGGTGTCCTCTTCTGGCCTGCAGGCATACATGCAAGTCAGAATACTATATACATAATAAATAAATAAATCTTTAAAAAAAAAGTTTAAAACTGAAGTTTAACAAGAAAAATCAGTGAAATCCATTTTTTGATCAGTCATTCTGATTTTTAATGACACTATTTAACATACTTTAATTTTCTTGTAAAATGGTACTGTGGTGACATGCACCTTGTAACTTGTGGGTAGGGTGAGGTGGAGGCGATAGAGAGCTAGTAACGTGAATTCCTCAGCCACTTACTGTGTAATTAATTATGGTCTGTCATAAGCATACATACACAGTAGGTCACCACACCACCCTACTTCAGCAGTTACTGTCTTTTGAGATAGAGTCTCACTCTGTAGTTCTAGCTGGTCTAGAACTAGCTTTGTAGACTAGATTGGCCTCAAATCACAGAAATCCCAAGTGTTGGGATTGAAGGTGTGTATAACCACTTACAGCTGAAAAATACTATTTTTAAGTGGTTGTCTTTGTCATTTTGGCCCTCTTAGAGTGACTTTCCTTCTTTCTTTCTTTCTTTCTTTCCTTTCTTTCTTTCTTTCTTTCTTTCTTTCTTTCTTTCTTTCTTTCTTTCTTTCTTTCTTTCTTTCTTTGTTAAAAAATCACTTTTTTATTATTTAAAAATAATAATGCCAGGTGCTGGTTGTCTGTGCACTTGGGAGGTAGACATAGACTGATCTCTAAGTTTGAGGCCAGCCTGGTCTACAGAGCGAGTTCCAGGACAGCCAGGGCTACACAGAGAAATTTTGTCTCAAAAAAAAAGAAAAATTGTCAGGCAAAAATAATTTTTCTTGTTATCATTAGAAATCCTTGTAGCAAACCCTATAAGTGAGTAGAGTTAGTTCTGAGAAATTGAGAACAGGCTTCTTTGGAAATGAAATAAAACTTGTAGTATTCAGAAATATAGGGTGTATAATTGCTTATAGTTTATTAGGAGGTAGGACTAGCCAGAAAAGTAAAGCTTTATGTGAATTGAAAAAAAAATTAGAAATTTTAAAATCTTACTTATTTTTATTATTTTTAGTGTCTGTGTGTCCATGTATATGTTCATGTGTGTGCGAAGAGTGTGGAGGCTAGGGGCGATGTCTAATGTCTTTTATGCTTTCCACCTTATTTTTTGATATATAGTAGCTCACTGAATTTGTAGTTCACAGAATCTGTTAAAACAGCTAGCCAGCAAATATCTTCTTATCCCTGCCTCCCCGGTGCTGGAGTTAAGAGGAAAGGGCTTCTATTCCTGACTTAAAACATTTTTATTAATATGAGTAATGGGAATCCAAATTAAGATCCTCATGTTTGAGTGACAGGTACTTTGCCAAACTAAACCATGTCCTCAGACCCAGAAACCAGTTTACTGGGACCCTATGATGAGTGATGCTTTAGGTCATTAAATATCAGGGCACTTCATTGTCGTCACAAAGCACTGTCTCTTCTGTTTCAGAAAGAAGCTATGTAATTTTAGTTCACTTTGTCAAAGTAGAGAAATGTTTATAATTTCTTGGTTAATACAACCAATTTTATTTTTAATAAAGTTTTGTTAGTGAGATGTGATAGGAAATCTTGGCACACAATACTGTAAAATAACTCTAGTACAGCAGGCTAGATATTGAAATTTTTTTTCCTTCTTATTTCTTCTGTGTAGATTTTCCAGCTGTGAATTGGGTTCTTCAGTTTGATTGTCCAGAGGATGTTAACACGTATATTCACAGAGCTGGTAGAACTGCCAGGTAGGTGTGCTGGCCCATTTCTTTGCTTTTGTACTGTTTCATAACAAAGCTTGCTTCTGCTCTAGCTGTAGATAAACAAAGAATGGCACAATTAGGTATGTGAGTGCTGGTGTTTTGTTGTGAGTCAATAACTTTCTGATAGGACTAGGGAGATGGCTCAGTGGATAAAAGTGATTGCCATGGAAGCCTAACAACCTGAGTTTGATCCCTGGGTCCTCACCTCTGTATTCCTATGGGAAGAAGGCTAGCTGGTTTGTTCAGATGCTTGCAAACCAGCTAGCCTGGAGTAACAATGCGTCAGCAGAAACAAGAGAGCCTCTTCCTTACCAGGGGGGAAGATGAGAACTACCTCCACAATGTTGTCATCTGACCTCCACAAAGACTGGCATTCTCGCTCTCTTTCTCACACACCATGCAAAATAATCAAACAAATAAAAAAAAATTATAGCCTGAAGGCTGTTGTAGCTGAGAACAGTCCATGAAGTTTTAGTGTTTTGTTTTAATTTACCCTTCTAAACTTTTCTAAGAACTGCTCACTGAACATCATCTCATTGAATCTTCATGACGTCTCTGTTTTCATATGAAGAAATCAAGTGTTTAAGCAGTAATACAATATGTTTGAAGATACAAAGAGCATAGATTTGAACCAGGCAGTCTGACTTCTCTAGTCTAGGTTGTATTCTTAATTTCTGTGGTATAGGGTTTAGTAAGGGACAGGGTTGGTAGGAGTCACAGATTTCCTTTTCTGATTAAGATTTAAAGGCCCCTCCCACTGACTTTTTTCATTTGTTTGTTTCTCTCTCTCTTTTTTTTTTAATATTCTAAGTTGAAGCACCTTATGCTGGCTACAGAGCTGTGGGGAAAATGTCTGAAACATAAAACGAAGTCTCAGTTACTTTGAGCTAAATTACAAATGGATCTAAATGAATAAAAAGGATTATGTAATATGTTAGTACTATTGAGATTACAGTAAACTTGTAGAATTATAAATGGCTAACCTCTTTCGGGTCTCATTTGGTAATGCTTCTCAAAAGCCTTAGAGTACTTCTTTTTGCCTTAATACTTCTTTGTTCAGAAATTGATCTTAAGAAAGTAGAGAGATGAAATCTGGATGTGGTGGCTCTCAGCTGAGTTTGGAAGGCTGAGGCAGATGGGTCTTAAAGTTCAAGGTTTGCTTGGGCTTCACAGTAAGCTTAAGGCAAGCTAGGCAATTTAGACCTTGCTTTAGAAAGAAGTTAAAAGAGGACTGACAATATAGTTCAGTGGAAGACTTCTTGTCCTAGCATCTGTGAGGTCTGTAGTGCTTGCCGTGTGTGTATGAGGACCTGAGTTTGAATCACTGGTACCCATGTACAAACACTTGGAAAGTGACATGCATCTGTATTCCCAGGGCTGTTGGTAGAGACAGGTAGATCCGTGGAACTCATTGGTCAGCTAGTCTAGCTGAGTAGGTGAGTTCCAGATTCAGTGAGAGAGGGTCTCAAAAATGAGATGGAGAGCAGGTGGGGAAGACACTAACAGCGGCCTCTGGCCTTTACATTACACACTCACATGAAACATGCACATTCAACATACAGAGAACAACAAAAAATGGAAAACAGACAATAACTTTCAGTAAAATTGTTGTAATACGGTATTTATTATGGTTAGGGATTGTAAATAGCATAAATATAAATTATAATAAAGTCATGTTAATTATGATTAGCTATAGGTGGACTGTTTCTTTGGTGTATATTTTCTTTTGTTTTCCTTGCCATCAAAACGGTGTAATTTGGTACTTCGATGGATTTTGGTGTTGATCTCACTGGACCAGCATCTGCTGATTTCAAGGCTTTCCCAGGGATGAGAGGATCCTCGGGTGTAAGGGCCAGAGACTGTTTCCCTAACCAGCTTCATCTTTCTACCTGGTCTGTGCCCACTCCTTCCCCCTCTTCCTTCCTCTCTCCGAGTCTCTCTCCTCTTTCTTACTCTCTCTTCCCTTCCTCCCATCCTTCCTTCTTTGCAGACTTTCCCTTTCTTTCCTCCCTTCCTTCACATTGTTTTTAGCTAACTTTGAAGAAAATAATAGATATTTTTGTATGTAGAGACTTTTTTTTTTCAGCTGAAGTAAGTAGTTTTTTATGGTTTCCTACAGCCTAATAAGTAGAATGTCTCCTTTCTTGTTTCCTAATTTTCATGGACTGTTAAGAGTGTCTAAGTGTTTTCTGATTTGAATTTACACCATGGGTCACCATCCAACATGACTGTAATAAAAATATACTCAGATGTATTTCTTTTAAGAACAAAAGAAGACAGTAGTATAATGGCAAGCATATTTTAAAGTACGTTGATATGCTAGAAGGTACAAAAGAAGTCTCTGAATTGGAATTAATGATATATTTTAAACAAGAGGTAAGAGTTGAGACTGAGTTCTGTAGAAGGTATCATTGCAGTGAGACAGACTAGCCTCTAAAATTTGTTTTCTCTTGGGGACACAAAACTGTTGCGTTTTCATTACTATTATTGTGTGTGCAAGTGTGTAAGCGCTTGATGTATGTGTGAGTACACATGCCATGCCTGGAGGTCAGAGGACGATTTTGGGAATCAGTTTTCCTTTTCCCCTTTCACTTGAGTTCCAGAGATTGAGCTCAGTTTTCCAGGCTTTGGCGGCAGGCGCCTTTACCCATAAACCATCTCACCAGCCCTGTTTTCAGTTTCCTAAGAAAGTGTACCCTACTATTCTAGGTTCACATTTGGATTACTTTTCACAGTGAGATCTTTTGAGAAGTCTTAGTGGAAGCTGGTGATAAAATCCTTTCCCCTGATGACTTAATTCCCTTTAGCAAACATGTAGTTTGTAAAAATTCGGTGCATGCACCCATGCACATGCATTTTTGTTGTTCTGTTGGCTAGTAATGGTTGTATATGGTGTCTTGCAAAAATATTAGACTAGAAGATGGCTTACAGGCCCTGTGACAGTTGTGTGATATGGCACGTAGACACTGATTCCTTCATAGGATATATTTAGCAGTATTTTGAAATCTATGTGAGATTAATGAGCATTTCAGTATATCAATAAATGGTTCAAAAAGGTAAGTCTTCCAGGTTTTCAGTTTTGGAGAAGTTGGTACAGTGTAGTTGAACATGCTATGGTGAACATTAAATTGGGCCTTGATGGTTGTGGAGCTGAAGATTTAGGACAGCACTGAAATGCTGAGTCAGAGAGAATACTACTCTCTCTCTCTCTCTCTCTCTCTAAGAGAATACTATTTTAAAGACTATTTTAATGTGTTTTTTTTAACACAGTCATTAACTTTTAAAGTAGAAGTCTGACCCTTTGTACATAAACAACACATTCTAAATTGACTATTTCAGATGTATGGTCAGTGAAAAGGTTAGCATATGTTTCCTTTTTTCTCTGGTGGTCTAAAATGGCCGTTAATGGGTTTAGAGATAATGAAAAAGCTTCCTGGGCCATGAGACTGAGTAATTGGGTTGAATAAAGGCTAAATTAAAAATTGAAACTAATTAGAATCCTGTGTTAGGCTGTAATTAAAACCAGGTTGCCAGAAAGTGTTTGCTTTTGGAATTGAACATTCATATATAAATATAAAAAAATGATTTTGTGGCTGGGTGGTAGTGGTGCACACCTTTAATCCCAACACTTGGGAGGCAGAGCCAGGCAGGCCAGCCTGGTCTACAGAGTGAGATCTAGGACAGACACCAAAACTACACAGAGAAACCCTGTCTCGAGAAAAAAAAAAGTGATTTTGTTAGAAAAATTGCTGAAGTTGGAGAATATGTGCTTTACCACGGAAAAATAAAGGGCGATTCAGGTGTTTATTGCCTCTGAGCATTTATTATTTTACTGGATTCTTTGATCTTTAATAAATTCTTTGGCTCTATAGCAAAGAAAAATTTCCCTAATTCACTTAATTAACAAAATGATGTTCTTTTTTAGACAAGTGAGTGAAGATCGTTTTTTTGTGATATATCCTGAGGTACATTTTGCTACTTAAAAGCAATTGTCTTTAAGACTTGCAGTTTTGGTTTTCAAAAGCCTGACTTTTATTTTAAATAAAAATTATTTGCAGTTGAAAACACAGAAGATTTGTAATTAGAAAGTAGGCACACACCAGATAAGCTTTTTGTTTGTAGGTAGTAGGGAGGCTAGGATAGAAGATGGGAGTTTATATGTACCTTTTTCTGTCCTAGAGTACTGAGAGGAAATATCATTTTAGCTGTATTTCAGTTCAGTCATTTTCTCCTTGTTTGTAGTTCTCAAAATTTTGAGTTAATTTAGATAGTAAGATGTGATTCCACTAGGGGACAGCAGAGCCAAGCTTTTGCATTTCATGTCTTTGGTCTACATCTTGACAGCAAGTATGAAGCTGTGTAAACTAGTTAAAATTCCTAAATTGGGAAGGGTTCATGGTTTGCAGAAAATGTTCTTAGTTTACGGAATCAATGAGAAATTTTTAAAGAGTCCTTAGCTTTTTGCAAACTGAAATAATAGAGAAAAGACAATTTCCCCAAGAATTAAGTCTAATGTTAATTAATGTTATTAGATATGTGATAAGAACAGTATTTTCACATGAAATTTCCTATTCTTAAAAAATTCACTTAGTTGGGAATTTTAAAGTTCTACTGAGTCTCTTTCTCTCTAGGAGGAAATTGCTTCCTTACATGGTTTTCTGCCTATGTTGACAACTGGATTTTAAAAACTTAATGAGGGCAGAGTAAATCCTTGTAACTTGCAGCATTGAAGAGCTGGGATGATACAGCTGGTAGTCACAGAGGCAAGTGAGGGTCTGATACTGCTTAGGAGCTGGCCATGTCTCAGGCACTTCCTCTGCTCTTGTTCTCCTATGGTCTACTCAATCCAGCAGGCAGAGTGAGCTTTTAAAACACAAGTCAAGTCGGGCGGCGGTGGTGCACGCCTTTAATCCCAGCACTCGGGAGGCAGAGCCAGGCGGATCTCTGTGAGTTCGAGGCCAGCCTGGTCTCCAAAGCGAGTTCCAGGAAAGGCGCAAAGCTACACAGAGAAACCCTGTCTCGAAAAACCAAAAAAAAAAAAAAAAACCCACAAGTCAAATTCTCTCCTGTGAGGGCTTCTCAGTTAAGTCAGTGACAGGCCCATACACTTGCCTTATGTATGTATGTATGTATGTATGTAGGTATGTATGTATGTATGTATTTATCTCCTTGTTCCAGGTTTTGCTGCTGTTTATATTTGCTAGACATACTGTTGCCTTTTTCCCACAGTTATCTTTGTGGCTCTTTCTGATGTCCTCATCAAGCTACTCCTTTGCACCCTTCTCTTTCTGTATCATTTATCATATTTAGATATGTTAGAGTGATTAGTTGGTTTTCTTTTTCTTCTTTACTTTTCTCATTACTAGATTGTATTATAAAGTTTTTTCCTAAATTGGTGGTCAGCAAGCCTAAGAGGTTCTCCTGTTTCCCCTTCTTCCCAGCACTTGAGTTATGGGCATGCATGGTTAGGTCTAGCTTTTTACCTGGATGTGAAAAGGGTATCTGAACTCGTCTTCCCTCACGCTGCTCAGCAAAGCATGTGGTGCTTTTTCTGTGTTCCCTCGTGCCACCCCCTCAGCTTGCTCTCCAACTTCTCTTGGTTTAGAGGCAGGTTTCTCTGTGTAGCCCTGGCTGTCCTGGAACTCAGAGATCTGCCTGCTCTGCCTCCCGAGTGCTGGATTAAAGGTGTGCCCCACCACCGCCCGGCTGTCTTCTGACTTTTGACCTGTCTTCAGAGAGCAGACATAGCAGCTGTGATGTCTGTCATCTATCTTATTTGGTCAGGGTGTCACCTTCTTATTTTATATGCTAATAACTTCTGCCATCATGTGTGGTTTAGTCTAATGGCTAAAGGGGACTGTTTTAAATTCATATTTTTTTTGTAGTGTATGAAGATGAATAACTTTGAGTCATACAATTTTGCATTTAAACAATGAGGAAGGTATTTACAACTAGTTTTTTTAGTTCCAAACAGGTAATTAGATAAAGGAGTATTTATATATTCATATTTCCTCTGTTTACAAGAAAATTAAATAAGCATAAAGACAAAAATATTCAAGTATTCCTTTATTTTTGAAATACTACCTTTTTCCTTGCAAAATTTGACTGTCCTTTCTGTGTTTCTACCTTTAATGTTAGACTGGCTGCTGATTCTTCAAGGTTCATTTAAGGTGTCATTATTTCTGGACAGTCTTCTTAATATCTAGACTATTAGGTAGAATTCTCTGTCATGTACTTAGAGCTTCTTCTATGTTAGTAATCAAAATTCTGTATTACTGATTTGTTTTGTTTTGTTTTTTAAGATAGGGTTTCTCTATGTTGCCTTGGCTGTCCTGGAACTCATTCTATAGACCAGGCTGGCCTTGAACTCACACAGATCTGCCTGCCTGTGCCTCCTGAGTGCTGGGATTTACTACTGATTTTTTTAATATCTGTTCATATAGGCATTCAGCTTTTTTTTGGTTTTTCGAGACAGGGTTTCTCTGTGTAGCTTTGCGCCTTTCCTGGGACTCACTTGGTAGCCCAGGCTGGCCTCGAACTCACAGAGATCCGCCTGGCTCTGCCTCCCGAGTGCTGGGATTAAAGGCATGCGCCACCACCGCCTGGCCAGCTTTTTTAATAATCTGCAGAATGTCTGTTTTCTCACTATCTTACTACCTGGCATATTAATATGATTTTAAAAAATTAACAAATTATCTATAATAAGATAGCTTAACACTTTGGTATGTTTTAATCTTTTTCAGTCTGTACATACAAGGATGTATTTTTTCCTTATTAAATTGAATTTTAAAATTAATATGTAAGATAAAACGCTTTCCTTTAGTTTTCACAATAAAAGTACAGTACCATCTCTTAGGTAAGTTGTTAAAGCCAGTTTTTTTTAACATTCAATGATAAAATACTATCTGCAGACAGTGTTGCAGACTTGGAGAGGCATTCAGGGTAGTGCAAATCAGTCTCGAATGTACCTTTTTAAGTCATCTTCCCTGCTGTTCATTTTGTATTCCAACTGGGGACTTTCCCTTTTTTTAGGTCTCTTTTTACTGAATCAGTCTTGTGTTGTCTGGTTTCTTCTACCATGACACAGCATTCTTTTATAACACCTTAGGCCCCTTTCTGTCTCCCTTGAAGACCTACCTGAAATTCCATCTGCTGTCATATTTTTTCTCTGGCACTTGTGAATATTTGTTCTCCACTTCTGAGTTGGTGGTGCTTGTTGCCTGTGGCTGTCCTTTGTCTTTCTTTGCTTGTCATCCTGAATCTTGGGCTTGTATGTGTTTGTTGTGTCTTCTTAGGATGAGTGTTACATTGCTTGAAGACAGGGCCCTGCTTCTTTGTGTTTGGTTTTTTCCTGAGTCCTGGCCTCTCAGTAAGTAGTTATTTGCTTAGTTATAAACATGTGCCCCTCAGATTTTATAGCATGCGTGTAAAGAATGCCTTGAGATTATGTGTAGCTTGAGTTTTCCTGCCTGGCCCACAGTCAGGGCAAATCTCTCTCACCTGCCAGTCCCACAGCCACTCAGACCCAACAAGCAAACACAGAGACTTATATTGCTTACAAACTGTATGGCCGTGGCAGGCTTCTTGCAGCTTAAATTAATCCATTTCCATAAATCTATACCTTGCCACATGGCTAGTGGCTTACCGGCATCTTCACATGCGGCTTGTCATCATGGCGGCTGGCAGTGTCTCTCTGACTCAGCCTTCCACTTCCCAGCTTTATTCTCCTCCTTGTCCTGCCTACACTTCCTGCCTAGCCACTGGCCAATCAGTGTTTTATTTATTGACTAATCAGCAACACATTTGCCATACAGAACATCCCACAGCAATTATGTTTTCTTTTGTGTATCTAAACAATTCCTAAATATCCCATTTGATCCTATTTTGTTGCTTATGTGGACCAGCGGGCACTGTGGTGTTAGTAAACTGTGTTCAAGCAGCACAAGCAGCTTCAGTACGTTTGGAGGGCTTGGGCCTGTGTCAGCACAGATTTCTGAAGCTACGGTATGGCAGTTATAAGGATTGGAGGTTTTTACCTGAGTAGGCCCATTTTTTAAATTGACCTGAAAAGTTTTATTCTAAAGGTATCAGTAAAATCCGTAGGAAGATGAATTTATTTACATATTTTGGTTTTCTGAGACAGAATTTTGCTGTGTAGCTCACCCCTGCCTTGAATCTGCGGCAGTTCCTCTGCCTTAGCCTCCTGTGTTCAGAAATTACAGGTGTGTATGTCAGTCAGTGTTCCCGACAAACTGATTCTTCAGCATATTTCGCTGCCATGTTTAATCAGCAGTTTTGTCATAATACTCTTGAGATTTGGGTAGAAGCAGTCTCCTTGATATATTTGTATGGACCTATTTTAAAATATGCCCTTTGGAGTTGGGCCTGTTGTTGCTGGAGGCCAGCCCGGGCTACAAACAAAAGTAGTGACATCCTGGCCTGCGATATTGAGACCCCCTTCTCAAAAGACGAATTCTGCTTAATTGCTTATTTTTTAGATGCTGGCTCTACTTTTGAAGTACAGCCTTAAAGGCAGTGGGAATTGTAGCAGGTGATTGAAATTTGATGTAAGGCAGCTAGAGTCCTACTTTTCTGACATCACAGAAGATTAAAAGCGGGTTTTTCTAGCATTTACTAATTAAGTGAACTTGATTTCATGTCATCTACTCATCTTACTGTCAAAATAGTAAAATGAAGATCGTATTGATACATTTTAAATTTTTTATTTTGTTTAGATACAAAGAGGATGGCGAAGCTTTATTAATTTTACTACCCTCAGAAGAACAAGGGATGGTGCAGCAGCTTCTCCAGAAGAAAGTACCTGTGAAGGAGATCAAGTAAGAGCTAGCTGTTCCTGTACTGCTGTTAGGCGTGAGAACATGATGCCACTGTGCTTATTGCCTACATTTCCTTCCTTCTTCCTCCTCATCTATTCGACCATCTGGCTTCTAATATAGAGGGGAAAAATACTTTAACAAAATCTTAGGAGAAGAAATTTTATGCTAACAGCAGATTGGAAGGAAAGTATAGCTGCTCCACATGTGCCCACATGTGTACATCCTAGTGACAGCAGCCAGCAGATTGCTGTTTTGTTGCAATTTATGAGTTCATTGACATGTCAGTGTCACTCTGAGTCCCTAGTTCATATGAAGGTTGCTCTTGGTGTCACTGTGATTAGTATCTGAGAGATCCACCTTAAAGGAAGGAAGGAGTTCGGCTCTTGGCTTCCGAGGTTATGTTGTTATGGCAAGGAGGTGTGGTAGAGCAGAGCCGTTCATCTGGTGGTAGTCTAGGGAGCAGAGGAAGACTGCCTGAACTTCATGCTCCCAATTTTAGTGAAGTCTGCTCTAGTCAATGAACTGTTTTCATGAATTAGCCTTTTAATACTGCATTTAATGTCATTACCATATTCGAGACCATCTCAATTTTCTCCTGTGGTCTTTGCTAGAAATTTTGTGTGTGTCCACTAGAGGTGGATGTCAGAATGCCTTTTTCAAATGCTTTCTTACCTTACTCTCTGAGATGAGGTCTCTCACTGACCCTGGCTGCCTGGCAAGCTCCTACGATCTGTCTGTCCCTTCCCCCATTCCATCCCTCAGATTGCAGTGCTGGGCTTCAGGTGTGCATGACCATGTCCATTTTATCAGGTTGGTGCTGGAGATCCTGACTTAGGTGTTCCTGCTTGTGTACTACTTTGCCCACTTAGCCATCTCCTGAGCCCCTTTCTGCTTTATAGTTATACCTATGATTCATGTTGAATTTTTTTTATGTATGTGCCAGGATTCATGTGTTTACACGTCCAGTTCTAATATTTATTAGAAAGACTAATTTTGTTTCTTTATGTTGCTGTAGTTCCTTTCTCAAAGATCTGTTGGCTATACATGTGGCTGTATTTCGGGACTCTATTCTCCTTGATTTGTTCTTTTGGCAATTACTGTACGCTGATGATTATTACAGCTTTGTACTTAAGTCTTGAGGTTGGAACCTGGCAGCCTTGCAGCTTGTGTTTGGAATCAGTTTATAGATACCCATAAAATAACTGGCTGGTATTTGTATTGGTATTACATTGAATCTGCAGATCAAATGAGAAATAGATTGGAACCTTGACAAGATTGAATTTCCCTGAAACTGAAAAATTAAGATTTTTCTTTGATTTCTTTCATCGGAGTTTTGTGGTTTTCTTTATGTAGATATTGTTCAGACTTTCTTAGCCTTTGGTATATTTGCATTCTGAAGCCTTGTTATAATTTTTAATAGTTTCCAGGAGCATTTTGTTCCTTTCTTTTGATTGTCCAAGTAGATCATCATTTCACCTTCAAACAAGCATAGTTTTATTTTTTTTCCTCCAATCAGTGTGCTTTTAATTTTCTTCTTTTGGTTTTACTGCATTGAAAAGCAGAGTTCCCCGCTTTGTTCTTTTCCCTTATCATTTTATGTGCATGGCTGTGTTGCTTGCATGTATGTCCTTTGTACTGTGTTTCTGGTGCTAGTGGGAGTCGAAAGAGGATGTCAGATCCTTTTTGTCTGGAGCTACAGATAGTTGTGAGCTGCCATGTGGGTGCTGAGAATTGAACCCAGGTCCTCGGGAAGAATGGCTAGCTACTGAGCCATTTCTCCAACACCCCTTGCTTTGTTCTTGATTTTAGTGGGAAAACTGGAAGGTTCTCACTTATACTAAGGATGATATTAGCTCTAGTCTTTATTTTTCCAAGAGCAGATATTCCTTATTTTGAAGTTTTCTATTTCTAGTTTATAGATAACTTGGATTTTATTACTTACTTTTGTATGTATTGAAGTGATAAATTATATTAATGTACCTATTGAATGAATGTTGAAACGAACATGGTAATGGTAAAGAGTTATTTATTGGTTGAATGATTGGTTCATTGATTGATTGAGATAGGGTCTCTTGTAGCCCAGGCTGCCTTCAAATGTACTGTGTAGCATAGGTGGTCTCCACTTCCCAAATGCTGAGATTGTAGGCATTTACTACTACATTTGGCTTCAGTTGCCTTTTTTTTGGAAACTATTAAAAAGAAACCTGTTTGTGTATGTGTTGTTATTGTTGTGTATGTGTGTGGTATATTTGTGGTAGTTACATGTATGCCTGTACATATATGTCTCTGTTCCTGTGGAGGCATGAGGTCAAACTGAGTGTCTTTCCTTGACTACTCTCCATCTTTATTTTTGAGGCAGGGTCTCTCTCTGAACCTGAAGCTTATCACTGGCTAGCCTGGCAGCTGAGCCAATGAGCTCCAGGGTTCTCCCTGTCTCCAGTTTCTCTACATCCTCCCCAAATGGCTGAGGTTGCAGACACATGCTGCAGTGCCTCAGTGCCACAGTGCTGAACTTAGGTCCTCATACATGTATGGCAGGCACTTTATCAACTGAATCATCTCCGCAGTCCTGATGCCTTTAAAAAAAGGATGTATATTAAAACAATTTTGTAGAATACAGCAGAGAAAATTAAGAGAAAGAATTTCTTAGTTTTAAGGAGCATTGGAAATTGAAAGGATGATACCCCTTGAATGAAATCATTTTGTGGGTTCTTTATTTCAAAGGATCATAATCTCCTCTCATGAGGATGTATACATTGGGCATAGTGGAATTCATCAGTCTTTCTTGTATTGGAGACATTGAAAAACAGTTTGATTTGCTTCAGCTATTAGATATAGAATATAGAAGATAAAAATTGATCATGAATTAAATTGTTGAGGTGAGTAGCTTTGTATGTTTTGAAAAATTTCTCTATTAATAAAGGAAAAACAACTCCATCTATACTCATTGTTTGCCTGTTGCTACTCTAACATTGGAGTAATGTAATAATTCAGTTTGAAGTTAGGAAATCAAATGGAGTCTCTTGTGAAATGTAGACCCTTTCATTCTTTGCTATCGCATAGTTGAGCAAAATTTGATGTTTCTTATATGTTTAATTTTAAACAGGTAAACGTTTTTATGTCTTAATTACTTGAAATTGATTTTACATATTTGATTTAAAGCAGGGACATTTGCAAAAATGACATTGAATTTCATTTCATTAATTTATGTCCTATGGGAATTTACTTTCTAACTTTATAGAATTAAGAAGTAACCAATGGTAAAAATGGCATTAGTATAGATAAACTCTCTTACTCATCATTTGTTTGGAGAAATCTACTGTCCTGTAATTTTCTTTTTCCTGTGTCATTCTTGGTCCATAGATGAGAAATAATGTTAAACACTCAAAAATCCAGTTGAGGGGGAGTAAGAAAATGCTGTGTATTATTCCTGTTTTTAAAATTGAGATTGATTTTTAGTTTAATTGTTATTTTTTTTTATTAAAAAGAATCAATCCAGAAAAACTTATTGATGTTCAGAAAAAATTAGAATCATTTTTAGCCCAAGATCAAGATTTAAAAGAAAGAGCTCAAAGGGTAAGTTATCTTTGAATTCACGATTTGTTTTTGGAATGGATTTATATAATTAAATTATATTTCATAAGTTTCTGCTGTTACTATGTTGCATGTTCATAGCTAAAAGGTTTAAGTAATGGAATTTTTACATAGATTACTTCTTAATTTTAAAAAGTGTTTCTTCTTATTAGAGACACAGGGGAAATTCTAAGATGATTTTTAGGTTTGAAGCAGCCTGGCATCTAGTATACTTGATAAACTTAACTTCTTATTTTTTCACTGAAATTGTTATAAGTTCTGATTGCATTTTCTGATGGAGAGATTAATATTGTCTTGTATTAAGCTAGATTTCTAGATGACATAGAGTTCTTGCAAATTATCTTCAACAATGAAATTTGAACCTGCTAATATGACTTAATGTTCTTGAATTGCTATTCTGAACTAAAAAAGTCTTCGTAAGAAATTGCCTATACTGACGTTTTTTAAAAAATGACATATATCTGACATTTTGAAATGTGTGTACAGTCTGGAAAGGCCAAGTCAGACTAATCAATCTTCAGATCAGTTATTTGTGAAGAGAAATGTTAGAAATTAAAAACCACCTGACGCTGAAAATGGTGGTAATGTTGTGATGTATGACATGACTAGCAGGTCATTTGGTTATTGGTTCAAGAAATAGAAAATGCTGAAAGGATTTTTTTTTTTTTTTTTGGTTTTTTTCAAGACAGGGTTTCTCTGTGTAGCTTTGTGCCTTTCCTGGAACTTACTCTGTAGCCCAGGCTGGCCTCGAACTCCAGAGATTCACCTGCCTCTGCCTCCCAAGTGCTGGAATTAAAGGCGTGCACCACCACCGCCTACCTGAAAAGATATAGTTTTACTGGTTTGAACATATAGAAAATGAGCCTTCTAGAACAAAAACTATAGACTAGCATGCTGAAATAAGCGATGTGACTTATTGGTGCCATACATGGTTTAGCAGAATGGCTGTGTTCCCAGCACCATCGGGCTATCTGGTTTCAGTGACTTTCTAGATTATGATTAATCTGGATGGAGCTAACCCTATAAGCACATGATATTATTTCTTGTGGATGATTGCTGGGGAAAATACCTTTGACCTAGCACCATTCATTGTTAATGCCTTTGGAGACAGAAAATGGTTTATTGGGAGATTAGTTGGGTAGAAAAGATTAGTGTAAATATAGAAATACAGAAGAAAATGTAAAGTTTAAGAAATATGGACAGAAGGATTAAATATACTTTATAAAATTTATATCTGTATACTGTATGTATTCTTGTGTGTGCATTTGTATGGAGGCCAGAGGTCAATTCTGGGTGTTTTTTGAGACAAGGCCTCTTATTGTACCTGGAGCTATGCATCTGGCTAGACTTTGACTATCTGGGCTGCATGTTACAGGAATCCTTCTGTTACTGGGTCCCAGTACTGGGATTGCTGCACATTCTTCATGCCCAGCCTTTTAAGGTGAATGCTGGGCATTCGAATTCAAGTTTTCAGACTTGGCTGGTCAGTACTTTGCTGAGTTATCTCTCAGCCCTATACAAACTGTTGTTAAAGAAAAATACTTTATTATCTATTTATTTTACAGACTGATAGGATCAGGATGACATAGCTGTGTCATGAGCATAGTTTTATTAAAAAAAAGTGGAAGTAAAAATTCCAAGATGATGGTAAATTATTTGAAATTATAATAAAAAAGAAAACAACCTTTTTGTCAAAATTTGGCTCACAGTGAAATTTTAGTTTGTTGAAAAAATTGTCTTTTGACTATTCAAGGTAATATCAGCAACGAAAAAACATTTATTTGCATCTTGTATATATCAGAAGATATTGAGTGTTCTATATGAATTCCTCATTGTCATAACACTTAGAAGGTAATTTTGATAAGAAAATTGCAATTTAGAAAAATGATGACATTTGCTCAGCTAATAACATATGTAATCAGTACAGATGCTCTATCTGTATTACTCTATTGCCTGTGTTGCCCTACTGTACTTTATTATAATTAAGTAGTGCTAATTAATATTCAGTAGCTTTTTGGAAAGTTGAGGAATTTTCTCCTTTGAGGTAAGATTTCATGTAACTCTGCCTGGCCTTAAATTTCCAATGTCTGCTTCTACCTCCCAAGTACTGGAATTACAGGCAGTGTACCACCATGCCCAGCTAAGGTAATCTTTTGTAGTGTGTTGGACTGATGGAATAAAATACAGAATCTTCTAATATTACAGTTGTAGCAGTTTATTTTTCTGTGTATGCAAAATAGGGTTGTGTTGATGTGTTTTGTATTTTTTCACTACTACTGAGTTTATCTCTTAGTTTTCTATTTTGGTTTTAGCTTAATATTTAACTTGTATTGCATTGTACTTTTTATTTTACAGTGTTTTGTCTCCTACATACGTTCAGTATATCTTATGAAGGATAAAGAAGTATTTAATGTGAGCAAGTTACCTCTTACTGAATATGCACTGTAAGTATTGATAACATAGCTGTAATAAAGCTAGAGGGATTGTCTCTAGTGTTTCCTCTAAGAGTTTTAGTTTAGACCACTTCTACTTTACTGTAGAACAGTTGGTTGAGAATTTGCAGAGAAGTATATTAAATTAACTCTTGGAAATTTAACCAGTATTTTAGTTCTTATTGTCAGGAGGTTCATATTTATAAGGTTTGTTTATTTTTTCAGTCTTTATCTCTTATAGACACTTGAAGTAACAGTTGCAAGATGTTGCGAGATTTAGTGACTCAGGTTGCAAATGTATGGAATGACTAACTGGTTTTGTTTGAATAGTTGTGAGATTACAAAAACAAAAATAACTTTTTAATATATAAAGGAAGAATCAGCTTTCTTTGAGGGAGTCCTGTCTCTGGGAAATGCATTGAACAAATCTTTAGAAGTACCCTTGAGCTTCATTATACTTTAATGCTTATCTTAGGTTTCCAAGATAAAATACATTTTAGGTAAGGTCTGAATGCTTGGCTTGCTTTCTAGGAATTTGAGTGACTTTACTTTTAAATTGAGTTTAACAAAGAAAATTTAAAAAGGTTTTATTTGAGGATTTCATACTTGAGAATGTTCGTATCCATTCCACTTCCCCCTCATAACAAAAAATTGGACCCAAGTAAGCTGCTATTTTCTGTGTTAGCATATACATTTAATATAACATAATACGTCAATTGTAATGTTTTAAAACCCTTTTGTTAGATAGCAGTGTGAAACAGTGTTAGATAGCATTACTGCTTTAGTAATGGATGGAAAAGCATGTGCCATGCAAAACAGGTTTTTGTTTCCCCATGTTTATTTACTAGTTCCTAGTTTCATTATTTTTAAAATATGATCCAAAGATTAGGATTTTTAGCTACTTTTGTATTTAGTAGTGTGAAGTTCAGTATTTTTTTTCTGGTTGCTGCAGCTAGAATATTCACAAATGATGGACGTAGGTTTTGAATACCGCAGGCTCATATTTAGAAGCTGTTTTGTTGCAACAGACTAGTAAATGTTGTGTTTGTTGTTGATGACTTGCTCTTGGTGATGTTTATAGAAGGCAAACAACTATGTTAAGTCTAAGTTGATCAGTGTAGTTTAACTGTGTTTTTAATTTATATTGATATTCAGATGTGTAATTTTCTTGAGGTGTAGGATTTCCTTTAGAAGCTCATGATAACTAAAGCAATTGCTATGTCTGTAAGATACAAGGTTAAAAATGTTCTAGGGAAATACTTTGAGTGCCCACTATATGTAGGTCATTACATTCAATGATAGGATTATATGTGTATATATACTCTGTCTTCAAGGAATTCAGGTTTTAGTTCCTGAAAACCATGTCACTGTACTATAGTATAAGAAATCCTTTGGTGTATATAAACTCACTGTCCTAACTCTTCATATCATGACGGTAATAATGACAGAAAGGGCCACAGTTGCCTATTTATTACTTTCACTGTATTGTATTTATTTATTAACTTTTTATATCAACTCTATTAGGTAGGCATTCTCAGTCATTCCATTTTTCAGATAAGAAAACTGCCTAAAGAGGTGAATATTCTTGAGACTATACAGCTAGTAAATGACAGAGCTGTGCATTTTGAATCTCAGCAGTTCTATTTCCGAGTTTATTTTTTTCAATAATTCAAATAATTCAGTAGTTTCTATTGTGAAATATATATAAACAAAACAGTGGATAAAGCTACCATTTATTTATTTATTTGGAGGCTTTTCTCAATGTGGAGCCTTGGCAGGCCTGGAGCTGTCCTCTGACTCACAATCTACCTGCCTCAGCCTCCCAAGTGCTGAGATTAAAGAGTAAAGGGGTGTGTCACCACATCTGGCTTAACAACTTTTTAAAAGTTGTATTTATACCCACCAGTGGGATTTTAGTAAAAATTGTTAGTTTTGATCCTGGAAGGAAACATCCAACATCTTGCTCTTAGGTAAAAAAGCAAATAAAACAAAATAAAATAAAACAAACAAATAAAAAACCCAAAACAAGGGCTGGAGAGATGGCTCAGGGGTTAAGAGCACTGGCTGCTCTTCCAAAGGTTCTGAGTTCAATTCCCAGCAACCACATGGTGGCTCACAACCATCTGTAATGAGATCTGGCGCCCTCTTCTGGTGTGCAGGTATACGTGCAGACAGAGCACTGTATACATAATAAATCTTTAAAAAAAAAAAAAACCAAAACAAAACCAAACCAAAACTCCCAAGATTTCCCCCTTTTAGCTCTTCTAAAAAGAAAATTCTGTTTTTGTAGCAGTGATTATGCCATATTCTGTTTCAGAATTGGGATTTGAGGTAGGGGAGATGGTATATGTAGTCTGCTCTCTACTTTTTGAGAGTAACTGTTTTGCCATTCCTCAGTCATGCCCTTTACAGTTTATGCAGTAACTTATGTTTTGCAAAGTACCTCTTTGTACAGTTAGTTATTTGGGACTTCATAGCACCTGTGAGGTAGACGTGGTAGGTGTTATTATGTGTTGTGAGGAAGCTGAGAGTTGAATTGGAAATTGGGTCTAGTATGTGAACTGTGACCATCTTATTTTTATTTCAATGCCTTTTTTTTTTTTTTTTTTTTTTTTAAATACGCTATCAACTCTCTTGAAGCAAAGCTAGGTGTCGAAAACATTTTCTGGGCAAGTACTTAGTACATTTTGGCTTTATTTTGGATCATTTAATCTGTCAGAATTGATGAGTCTTAGAGGAATGGTTAAAAAAAAAAAGCCATGGAAATAGATCTGTGCTGTAGAGAAACTTCCATAACACCACAAACACACCATCACTTCCATTTCTGAAGGTCTCTTGGTCTTGCTGTGGCACCACGGGTAAGATTTCTTCAAAAAGTGGAGAAGCAGCCCACCAAAGGATTGGTAAGGAATCAAGTCACCGAAGCAATTCAACCCAGGGCTCCCTCCCTCACCAGTGATGAAGTAGAAGAATTTCGAGCTTATTTCAGTGAGAAAATGTCCATCCTTCACAAAAGTGGAAAAAGACTAGAAGAGACAGAACACAGCTTGGCCAATGGTGATAGTGAAGATCAGGACGAAGATACAGCAGATGAGGAAATGGAAGAGCAGCTGGGAAAAGCAAGAGAGCCTCACACTGAACCTGTTCTCAGTGTTGAGGAGGAACAGAAGGAGGTCAAGGAAGCTCCTGTGCAGTTCCTAGACAGAGATGATGAGGAGGAAGATGGGCCTGATGCTGATTTCCTCACAGTGAAGCGGCGTGATGTGTTTGGGTTGGATCTTAAAGAGAATGAAGCATTGTCGGTAAGTTTACTCGGAATGGAGTCCTTTCTTGCCTTTTTACTTTGTACTAATTGTAGCCTTTGGAAAGTCATGAAAAGTAACAATTAAGAGGAACTTAGGGTATGTGTCTTTGTTGTGTACTCTTCATATTTAAATACAGGAAAAGTGCCAAAGAATTCTCATACTCTTCCTAACTTCAAAACTCAAGAGGTTGTCAGCCACAATCTTTTTAAATGCTTTTCTGATGCTGTGTTTTGAAAGTAGCTGTAGTAATGATTGTGGCGTGAAGGGGGCAGTGAGGTTTTTGTTACGATGTGAGAATCCTTCATTATGAGTCTTAACATCCAGTCTCTTGATGGACTGACTACATTATTGTAAAGAGCAGCTGTAATTACATACACTTTAAAAAAATTAGTTTTTCTTCATATATGAGTCCATTTTATTTTGATCAGATTCAACCTTCAATTGCTGCATGTATAATTATGGCCTCTTTCCATGATTGTCTGTGTGTCTGTCTATCTATCTATCCATCTCCCTCCCTATCTATCTCCCTCCCTATCTATCTATCTATCTATCTATCTATCTATCTATCTATCTATCTATCTATCTATCTGTCTCTTATCATTTATCTATATCTACATCTGTGTCTCTGTCTATATCATCTATCTCCTCTCTCTCTCTCTCTAACCTACTGAGTCAATTTAGTGTTGCCTGCATGCTTGTGGGTATAGAACTGTCCTCTAGAGAAAAGGCAACCTACCAGGGGCCCTACCACTGAAGTAAGCTGTTTTTTTTCTCTCCAAGCAGCTGTTAGTATTTACATCTTTCTGAGTATGAAATGAGTTTTTTTTTTAAATTTAAGAGTGTTTATTTTATGCGCATGAGTGTTTTGCCCGCATGTGTGTTTGCATCTCATGCATGCAATATTTGTGGGAGCAAGAAGAACTTGGAACTGGAATCAGTGGTGGTTACTAGCTATTATGTGGTTGCTGGGAACTGAATTTGGGTCCTCTGTGAGGGTAACAAGTGTTCTTAGCTACTGAGCTTGTTACTATCCCCATGAAATTTATCTATCTATTATTTTTATTTCCTATGGACTGGTGTTTTTGCCTGCATATATGTCTGTATCAGGGTATCAGATCCCTTGGAACTGGAGTTACATACGGTTGTGAGCTGCCATTGAACCTAACCTGGAAGAGCAGTCAGTGTTCTTAAACCACTGAACCATCTCCCCAGCCTATGGAATTTATTGTTAGTGAGATACTTGCTTTTGAGAACCAAGTTGGTATCTTAAGTAGAAATTTCTCATTACTTTTGATGATCTGAAAGAATTGTATGAAAAATTCAGCCTGACTCTTACATATGATAAAGTCTTCCTAAAAATTGCTAGTTACAGTAAGTACCTGATTTTGAACTGGGAAACTTTGTAAAGTGTTTCTTAAAGTAACTAAAGATACAAAGTGGCAGATATGCTTATTGAGCACTGACTTATTGAGAGGAATGTTTTATAAAAAGCATGACATTTATTTCCTGAACTACCCTGTGAAGTAGGTGCTGTTTATATAGGTGAGAGAAAATCTGGAGCAGAATAATGTACTGACCTATTCTGCTTTAAATTAAGCTATTTAAAGTCTATGACTCCTTTAAATAAATAAGTGAAATAAGAATAAGACATTGGATTTTATTCTAATCTGTCAAATCAATGTGATGATTGATGTTGATTGTCAGCTTGACTGGATTGAGAGTCATCAAAAAGATTTGTATAGCACACTGTCTATAAAGCACCTTTCTACAAAGTTGAATTTATGTAACAGATATATAGTAAAAAATCTCTTATGTAGTACATTTTAGCTTGACAAAAGGTTTTAATCATTGTCACAATCCACAGTGAAACAGTTCACCACTAAAACATTGCTTCATTCCCCTTGTAATAAGTTACTTCATTCCATTTTCAACCACTGGTCTGACTTTTGCAGTTTTCAGAATGTCATATAGATAGAACCATAGAGTTTGTAGTATTGTGTGTTTGGTAACTTTGTGCTTGAGTACTTAATTCTACTATATTCATTCTACTTCTGCTTATATAGTAAGTACGTCTACTGCATTCATCAGCAGCTTGTTTCTTTTAGTTGCTGAGTTCTACTGCATAGTATGAGGATTGTCAATAGGCACTGTTGTTCACAATTTTTGGTGGTTATGACAAAAGCTATGAGTGCACAACCTTTTTCATGTCTTTGGGATGTAAGTAAACTAGTGGGGTAGATAAACATCAGGATGTAAAGCAAGTAAGTATATGTTTTCTTTGAGAGAAGCTCTTCGGTTCTTTACCAAATGGATCGTTTGAACATTCATGAGTCTTTAAAACTCATAATATTGCTTGTTTTTAAATTCAGCTACATAGCAAAGTCTATTAAATTTTTATGGCATTTCCCTGGTGATGACTAATGGTGAACATCCTGTCACCCTGTATTTGCTGTCTGTATAGCTTGTATGACAAAATGTCTATTTTTTGCTTTTTAAGAAATTGTATTGCTTACTTGACTGAGATATTTATGAATTCTAGATCCATATCCCTCATTAGATGTGTTTTACTAGTATTTTCTTTCAGTTATGTCTTACAAAGAGCAGAAATATTAAATTTTGAAGTGTTTATTATCTTTTATAATTTATAAGTATCATATCTGGTAAGTTTGTGGTCAATAAAAGGTTATGAAAATCTTGTACAATATTTTCTTCCAGAACTCTTAGGGATTTAACCTTTTAGTTAGAACTAAAATTTATTTCAACTTAATTTTTGTGAGTGGTTCTGAGTCAGGTTAGATTTAACTTTTTTGTTGTTTATTGGTATGTAGTAGATAGAGCCCTTACCTTTTGTAGAAAAGATGATGCTTTTTCCATCAGATTACCTTGACTCCTTGTTGAAAGTCAGTTGACAGATGCTGTGTGTGTGTGTGTGTGTGTGTGTGTGTGTGTGTGTGTGTGTGTGTATGTTGTGATTTCTGTTCTGTATTCTGTGTTTGTATTTTCACTAATGGCATCTGTCATGATTCCAGTAGCTTTATAGTAACTCTTAAATTACTTTATGTTTTCCAATTTGGTATCCTTTTTACACTATAAATGTTGGCTGTTTTGGTGCCATTACATTTTCATAGGCTTTAAAATTAGCTATTTGATTTGTACATGAAGCCTGCTGGTGTCTTCATTAAACTGCATTGAAGTTTTAAATCTATTTGGAGCCAATTGACACCTCAATACTGAATTTTTTGATTCTATGAATATGATAATCTTTACTTATTTTTAAGTCTCCTTTTCCTACCTTTCAGCATTGCTTACTCATACCACACATATACTTTGTTAGATTAGTCTTTTGCTATTTAGTATTTTTCTGTACTATTTTGCATGAAACTTTAAAAATTTCAGTTTGTAATTTTTTTCTGGCCACCATCATACAGAAATAAAATTTGTTTTTGTGTATCAGTTATTTTAAACTGACCTATTCTGGTGACATTTTTTTTGGGAGTTCCTTGAAGTTATCTCTGTAATTGATTTAATCACCTTTATTTGTAAACACCAGAATAATAATTATTTTTACCTTCTGTACATCTTGTTTCATTTTCTTGCCTATAACTGATTAGGCTCTTAAGAATGGGAGAGGTAAGGGTAGATAACAAAACGTTGTTCTTGATCTCAGATTGACACTCAGATTGACATTTGTATCTGAAATTAGCTTCCAGTTGGTTTTGTTTTATTAGATTGGGAAATTTCCATATGATTCCTAGTCCAGTAATATTTTTTTAACTATAAATGGATGATAAATTTTGTCATGTTTTTCTATAATTATTAATCACATGATGGTTCTTAGTCTGTTGATATACTATATTGACTATTTTCTACCCCTAATAATGAGCTAGTTTAAATTCCTGTGAAAACAAACTTCACTTGAGCATGGTTTGTTTTCTTTTATTATAGTGCTGGATTCTATTTAATGATAGATATTTTGTTAGGGACCTTTGTTTCTGTTCTCAGAAAGAAAATTTATTTTCTCTCTTGACCTGTCTGGATACTATATATTTTAAAGGCTTTTGCTTATTTTGTCAGATAATCTAACAGAATAGTCATGTTGATCGCTGTCACACTCCCTATGTTATTGTCTATTTATACCACTATTGGATAGTAACAGCTTGTTAGAACTCCTTTTTAGCTTTATTTGTAGAAAATTGGCATTTTGAAGCTCTATAAGAATAGTTGAAAGGCATTATTGAATTTTTGTAAGCAGGGACATAAATAATTTACTGGTTCTAAATGATAGAGCAGGTCCAGCTTTGTAATTTAGGTAATAATTTATGGTTTCTAATTATGATCTATCTGCCTCTATCACAGTATAAAAATTTTATCTTTCCATTACCTCTTTACCCTAGGCCAGAATTGCAAGTAAAAATAAACATGTTTTCTTTCTAACTCAAAAAATTATCCAAAAAATACATTTAAAATGTGCATTTATTTGTGTGTGTGTGTGTGTGTGTGTGTGTGTGTGTGTGTGTGTGTGCACATGCACATGCTTCTGTGAGCACAAGGGTGTGTGGGTGTTTGTGGAAGCCAGAAGAGGTCATTGGTTCCCCTGGAGCTGGAATATGGAATAGCAGGTGGTTTTCAGTTACAGTGTGAGTGCTTGGGTCTAAGCTTCGAGCCTCTGGAAGAACATTTCTCTAGTTCCTAAACATTAACATTTTAAACTAGGAATTTGAAATATTATGGCATCTTTATCAGATGTGACAAGCATTTAGGGGCCATTAATGAGGTTTTGAGACACTGATCAAGGAAAATTTTTTCTGTTCCTTCACATTGCCTAGTATTACATAAAAACAAGAATTGAAATTAATGATTCTTCTACTAAATAGAAGTAGTTGACTCTCTCCCTGCTTTACTTCATCTTTGTCCTTGAATTTTTAAAATAAGCATTTTAGGGGTTTGTTGGGTCCTGGAATTTTGCAAATAACAGGGAACACACCACCAAAGTCTGT